ATTGATATCTGGTTAGCTGATGTAGTGTCAATACTATTAGTACCGGTAGTTACTATTGGTAATGTAGTCTTAAAAACAATAATAATGTAGAATTATTTACCTATTCAGTACTAATAGTAAAAACTAATGATACACCTCAATAAATTCACCATGGTGGAAGCGCGCTATTTTCTCATGCAATGTAGTAATTAATAGTGAATTTATTGAAAAGTAATATGTATATATATATGTACATAACATGATTGTATTATATGTACCATGTTTGAATAGTAACTAATTGTAACTAGTTTTATTAACTACTAATAGTAATGTCATAACCATTAGATAACTACTATGATAATATCCCAAAACCGGTAAATCTCACAGTATAATCTATGTAATGGTTATGAATGGGTTTATGACCCTACGATACTAGCCAATTAATCCATTTATTTACCAGGTTCACCGCTATTGGGACATCACGTGGGATTAATGTATATTAGCCATTAGGGAACCAGTGCATTCAAATGCATTAATGGTTCAATAATGGTTCAATAATGTTTAGTATATCCGCAATGTATTACCAATATTATTATTGCTCTAGTAGTAATGTTGTGTAATTAGTAATATTTCAACCATATCATTATGAGCAATAATGGCTAGTAATAATTGATAATGGGTAGCGTAATGGTTCACAATAAGGCATGAATCAACAGATAGTATGGCTTTGAATGTAAAATAAGAAATATCCTCAAGGAAATACAGGAAACATATATATATATGTATATATGTCATTATCATATGTATATATATATATAATATACACATTGCTTTCTCCACTTTTTCCATGGTTTTTCCCATTTCTTTCCATGGTTTCTTGGTGGTTTTCCACAACGCCACGGCACCTCGCAGCAGCTTCTCCGGCGGCGCCAGCATGCGGCGTTGAGCGAACAAGGGCGCCGCAGCACCGAGGAAGCCCTGGGCGGAGAGCACCTGGACGATCGAAATGGCCATCAGTTAGTATGAAATCAATGGGAGATCTCCAGGATCCTAAAATGGAGGTACGTTAGTACCATATTTCTGGTCATATTTTGTGGCTATATCCCCTTACATAGCCCTGAAAAACAGGCCTTATATATGGTAGGTACCTCCAATTTAGGATCCTGGAATGGCCATTGATGAAATATCGTAACTGGTTGGTGGTTGACTAACATAGCTATTGAAAATGGCCCAGTCGAAATAGTGGATTTCCCCATTTTCATAGCATGGTGATTTTCCATAGTTGTGTAAATGTTTACCAGAGGATATCTGGTTGGTGGTTGACCTACCCCTCTGAAAAATGATGGAGTTCGTCAGTTGGGATGATTACTCCCAATATATGGAAAAATAAAATGCATGCTCCAAACCACCAACCAGATTATAGTGATTTACCATGTATTATTATTATACTAATTTGCCATGTGTTTAGTTATAGAAATCAGTTAGTGGTGATTTCTATAGTAGTTGATAGTAGGGATTTATCATCTATTATGAGTGGTTAATAGTAGTCAACAATACATGGTAAATACATTGTTAATTGATAGTGATGGTTGATGGTTAATAGAGGCTAATAAATGCTGAATGATTTCTATAGTAGTTGAAAATAGCTAATTAATAGTAGTTCATATAGTAATTGATAGTATAGTATTGCAATACTTGATAATAGTAGTTCATTGTTATTGATTATCTATGAGTGGTGAATAGTAGTTAATAATAGCGAATGCTGTAAAATAGTGGTTAACCATAGATCAACATAATGGTTAATAGTGGTAAATACATTGTAAATAGTGCTTCATAATATTGATGGCTTCCTCCTAATAATACTGGATAAGAGTCTATCTATCATGTTCCCTCTTCTCTCCCCCAAAGTCATGCTAATGCTACTCCAGAATCTCTTGCGTTGCGACCCTCCTTGGCCATAGAGCTCCAGAATGCGATCTGCCACCTTCATGGTCTGCGCTCCTGTGGCCACTCCTGCTCGTTGACGTTCTTTTGCTTCACGTAGAGTACTGTCAGCAAGCTCGCGGGCTGCATGTGCCTCCTGAGACATGATGGTCACCCTGCCGACTGCAGGCTGCAGCTGCTCTGCAACCCTCGCTGCTTCATTCGCGTACTCTATCTTCAGCACGACCTCAACACCAGAATGAAGGACCGGGCATGAACTGCATGAAACAATCAATTTGTAGCCTAACCTGCAGTCTACCTGAACCCTCCTCCCGAAAAATCCATTGTTATTAAGCGCTATGAAGCGCTATTAATCCACTATATGCGCTTAATAACAATGGATTGATCTATAGTGATTAATCTGGTTATAGAAAAACCGGCCGGCATGGGAAAAACATCTGATGGCTAGTCGTTTGCATCCTGTCGTCATGGGTTCATGATTTTTTACACAATCTGATTAGGGAAATTCTCTAAAATTCTTGGGTAATAGTGGTTAATAATGGTTAATAGTGGTTAATAGTGTAATAGTGGTTAATAGTGGTTAATAGTGGTAATTCTTAGGTATTCTACCAGGTTAATAGTGGGTAATAGTGCTGGATAGTGCTCAATAGTAGTAGTTTGTGGCTATCGGCTGACTCGCCGCCCCAGAAGGGTTGTCATTTTTTGCGATTGTATACTTCAATGTTGTGCACTGTATGCTTGTACGGTGGGGTGGGGTGGGGCTAATAACACCTAATAACGTTCCTTGGCGCTTGCACACCAACATGATGCTACGTTACAGACGGGGTGGGGTGGGGTGGGGTGGGGCTATTAACGTTCCTTGGCACTTGCGGGAATATAAATATGTTGCGACGCTTGCGCATGTTGTGAACATACGCGAACGTAGGTGTGATGTTACGTAGGTTTGTTGTGGTCGCAGGCACTCAGTGTTTCTGGATTCCACATGGAAAGTTTTGAAAAAATGGAAGCCTATCGCTTTTGCCCAAAAAGACAAATCCCATGGGGGGAACCAACGAATATCGTTGGAAATGGGCGCGAAGCTTCCAGTGCAGGCAGAATGCTTCCCATCACTAGTTCAATCTTGGAAGAACTTCCCGCATGCTTGTGGCAGAGTTGAAAAAAGATGCTTCCAAGCCGTACGGACATGGACTTGCTTGATCAAGAACCATTTCCATTTTTTTCCCCAGGGTGATTAAAAAACGATCGTTTCGCCTGCACGAAATACCATTGTCTCAATTTTGAATTGGCCCACGCAGTACAAAATGATACTTTCAAAATGCCTTCCGAAGATGAAAATTAAAAAACAATCGGTTTTAAGCATTTCACCTTGAGAATGAGGAAAAAACATTGTTGACAGTTCCAGGGCTGCGAGTCAGCCGATTCCCTATAGTTTGTAATATGGTGAGGTTGATAGGCCATCATGAGGCTATCTAACTGGTTTACGAGCAATGAATATCGTGGCTATAGCGAGGTATCCTGGGAAAATGTGGGTGGAATTTAAGCAAGAACACATTATGTGAACAATGGTGGATGTCAGCAACAAGAACGGGGGATACACATAGCTATATTATATAATGGTTGTGAAATGTTGTGAATACCTTTATCCACTGGGATTAATCGTGGTTGATATGGGTTGCTCGTAACGCTTATACAGAAGTAAGGGTTAATGTGTTTTGAGTAAACACTGTCATAATGAAACTGTTTGGGAGTATTATAAGATATCCAAATTGGGGATTTCACCAGCAAATGGTCGAGTTTAATAAGCAAACCCATATGGGTTTGGTACCAGAACAACAAACACATGCCAGGGCATTATAAGATATATATATATATATATGTATATTATGTATATATATATATATGGGTTTAAGCCATACCTGTTTGGATTTTATTTGTTGGTTTACAACACTATGCCAAAACGTCAAGACTTACATATTGTCAAATTTCTGGTTGGGCCATATAATGCGTTATCAACAATCATCAAAATGATGATGTGACGCTTTATCTTACGATGGCAAGTGCTGAATCTACCATAAGATATGATACACCACTGGTTTGTATTGGATGATTGTATAATGGGCATTATTTTGCTGGTTAAATCTCAACCATTGTATACGTAAGCGTTGTGAACCATTCAATACCAACATTCACTAAGTTTGAAATCCTCACTTTACTCGTTAACAATATGCCCATAGCTTTGTTGGTTGAAGAATCACCAATTCATAAGCTTTAGTTTGGGCCATTCTGGTATTCACCAGTGTGAACCGTCATTCAACCGTTATTCTTGACAGTTACGAACCACTCTTGAACTAAATCCCTTCAATGTATCCCATGTTAACTGTCTACAACTGAGCATTCCTGACCGTATTATTGATCACCCATTATTCATCATCATTGCTAGTAGTCAAGATTTGGCTAACCATTACCCTCTGGTAAACTAACATAGCTATGGAAAATGGTGATTTATAGTGGATTTACCCATTAAAAAATGGTGATTTTCCATAGTTATGTTAGTTTACCAAAGGTTTTGACCATGACTACTATTCACCAACCATATCCCGAAAAAACAGCACCCTGCGAATCAGGCACCGTATCCGCCAACGGCCCCAGCCGCACAGCATGCGCAGCTCTGGGCATCCCGCGCAAACGGCCGGCGCAAGGTCTCAGAATCTGACAGGAGAAGTTGAAAGTTCACCAAGGAAAATGAAGGTGGGTTTAAGAAACAAACATGGGGGAGTAAGTAAGAAAAATGAAGGTTTTACCCAGCAAAAATCGGAGTTTCAGAACAAAACACAACTGAAAAATCGAGAGTTTAAGTAAGAAAAATGGTGGGTTAACTAACCAGAATGGGATTTTCGCGACAACAAAATATGGGAAGTTCATCAAAGTTCATCAACATATAGCGGTTTCGCCACTAAACATGGAGTCAGTACAATCAAATCCAACTATCATAGAATCGGGGTCTGACCCAGTAAAAAATGATGAGACATGGAGCAGCATGTGATTTCACCATGTACTAAATGTAGGTGGATATGATATTATATAACCCATCTGCTCAACATTGAATTGCTTCGAGTCCCCCAAACAAATAGACTTAGCACGTTTCACCAGAGTTTCCTGCAGGTATTGCAGGAGGCATGAGGAATCTTCATCCAGAATGAATGTTTGAAGGGACTGTGCTTGTTGCGGTTCTTTTTGCAGGAAACCCCGGCTTATGAAAAGCAACCATTTGTTAAGAATAGATGCCAGAAAGAATGTCGGAATAGGTGCCAGATAGAATGCCAGAAAGAATGCTTGAAAAGATGCCAGATAGAATGCCAAAATAGATGCTAGAAAGAATGTCAGAGTAGATGCCAGATAGAACGCCAGAATATTAGATGCCAGAATAGATGCCAGATAGAATGTCAGAATAGATGCCAGATAGAATGTCAGAGTAGATGCCCGATAGAATGCCAGAATAGATGCCAGATAGAATGCCAGAAAGGATGTCAGAGTAGATGCCCGATAGAATGCCAGAATAGATGCCAGATAGAATGCCAGAATAGATGCCAGAAAGAATGTCAGAATAGATGCCAGATAGAATGCCAGAATATAGATGCCGGAATAGATGCCAGATAGAATGCCAGAATAGATGCCAGATAGATTATCAGATAGAATGTCAGAGCATATGCCAGGAAGAATGTCAGATAGAATGCCAAAAAAATATATACATGCCATATATACTTCGAGATGGTATGTCAGATACTAAGTTACTATGTCGGAATGGTGTGTCAGGGTGGGGATCACTCGAAGAAAGTAATTCGGGTTTACTATACCCCATTCACCATTGAATCAACATGCTTGTTGGATTTGATTATACCACATGTTTCCGATTAAACCACCATCTTTATTGGGTAAAGCATCATGTTGTATCGTTAAACCACTCCTTGTTGAGCGATTTATCTGACTTTCCAGGCGAAAAACGCAAAAAAAAACCACAGCACCTTCCGCTCCAAGACCGCAGCCAGCTGCGCATCCAGCACTGGGCGTGTTGCTGAGACATTTTGATGGCAGGAACCATCCAAAAACAGTGAATTTCAATGGATTTCACCAACAAATGATGGAGTTTCATAAGCAAACCTCTATTGGGATTATGGGTGTGTCTGAAAATGGGAGGGACACCATTGAAAAAAATGTAATATTCTGTACCGCTGGTTAATGATGATGATTCCAATCATAATTGTAATTTGGAGGGTATACAGGTATACATGACATACCCTAAGTTCAGATAGGTTGATTGAACCACCAAACTCGGACCCCGAACCCCCTTAGATATGTAGAAGGAATCCAAATGATGTTTTCAGGAATGATTCATCAAAACTTGGTTGCACCGCACAGTACCCCTCGACATGAAGGTCACTGGATGACCAACAAGCCTGATCATCATGCAATATTTTCGGTATCGTCTGATAATCCAACATGCTTTGCGGGCAAGTAATTATCAACTTTGACGAGAAAATAATCTAAGGCTTAGGGCATAGCAAAACTGGAGAAGTTATCATTGTCATGTTTGATATCGCTTGATTACCAAAGGTGCTCTCCATTTCCGTTAGCATCACAGCAATTTTTGGTTACATCTTGATACTTCCCTTTCCCATTTCAGGTCTGCCTATAGCTGATGAATCTCCCATTCTTTTCATGGACCACTTGATTTCGTTTAAGAAATCACCACGCTTTTCAGCCTCATCGGTTGGTGTCGTTGCTTCCAATTTATTGGGACCACATCAACGGCGGATCACATTCCCATCTCCGGGAGGGGGCCAGCATTAATGGATTGGTTTTTTGGGGCTCTCATCATGGGTACCCGAGCGGGAATGCCGGGCTTGGACTTTCCAAAGGATTTGGACAATTGACAATTACCCTCTGGTTATGTCAAAATAGCTATTGAAAATGGTGATTTAGTTCGTGGATTTACCCATTAATAGCATGGTGATTTACCATAGCTATGTTCGAAGGAAGTTTAGAAGTGAAACTTCCGACAATATGGACAGTTGAAAAGCAGAGGTGAGAAGAGACAGAAGAGAAAAGATCAGAAGAAAGAAGATGCAGATGCGCGAAAAGGTCGGAAAGTCGCGAAACACTGTGTTTTTCCAATGATTTGGGGCTCCGGAGGGTCGAAAAGTAGGCTCGCTAAAGCGGCGGGTGCGGAGCTAGCTGGCCAGATGAGAGATGAAAAAGTGCACGCCGTTGTGGCGCGAAGCACATTTCCAAGTCAAAATGCACAAAACACACCAGGTCCGGACCACTTTTGGCAGTTGAGATGTCGAAAAAGTGCACGCCGTTGTGGCGCGAAGCACATTTCCAAGTCAAAATGTACAAAACACCAGGGGTTCGGACCACTTTTGGAGGTTGCGATGTCGAAAAAGTGCACGCCGTTGTGGCGCGAAGCCCATTTTCAAGTCAAAAAGTGTTAAAAACTGACGGTCTCGGACCACTTTTGGAGGTTCAGATGTCGAAAAAGTGTCGAAAAAGTGCACGCCGTTGTGGCGCGAAGCACATTTCGAAGTGAAAAGTGTAAAAAAACGCCGTTGAAGGGTTTTGAGCCTTTTTTGACGTGAAGATGTCGAAAAAGTAGACACTGATTAACTTAACTAACTTGACTAACTTGACTAACTTCACTAACTTAACTACCCTAACTTCGACGACAACAGCAACAGCAACAGCAACAACAACAACAACAACACCAACCACAACAACAACAACTACAACTACAACTACAACAACTACACAACAACTACAACTAGAACTACAACTACAACAACTACAGCTACAACAACAACAACTACTACTACTACTACTACTACTACTACTACTACAACTACAACTACAACTACAACAACAACAACAACAACAGCAGCAACAACAACAACTACAACTACAACAACTACAACAACAACTACTACTACTACTACTACTACTACTACTACTACACTACACAACAACTACAACCACACAACAACTACAGCTACAACTACAACAACAACAACTACAACTACAACTACAACAACTACAACTACAACTACAAAACAACTACAGCTACAACTATATGACTGCAACTACACTACACTAATTAACACTACAACTCCACTACGCTACAACTACAACTACAGTTGCAGTACATCACACTACATCCAGCAGTTGTGGGTGAGATGACCACTGCAACCATTGCAACCACTCCAGCAAACACAACTCCAACCACTTTTCGGTCAATCAGTGGATTCGCTCTGCCATCCGTGATTCACAACAACCAACGTCTCCTATAGGTTTCCTATTCTGAAACTTCCGCCACCGCCTTGTGCGGTACTACTGGTAGTCATTGCCAGAGGGTCCCTAAAAAATTAGCTGCTATCGCTGGCTAATTGTCCTGATTTTTTGTTCGGATGGGCGAATAAAAAGGCAAATTGGTTAACTATAGGTTACCATGTTTTGCAGTGAAAATTGCTGAAATGCCCCTTTCTCTTGTGGTGGAAACAACCGCTTCGACAATGCGATTGGGAAACCTCAGTTAAAAGGACCGAGTTTGTCATCCCTTTTCTTTATGAAACAAGATTGATTCCAACTTGGTGCGTGCCAGTTAGATCCAGTGGGTAATTAACCCATATTTTGACGCAAAACTCAACACAGGTAATTAATGTGGAATATGCCCACTTAGATTGAGGGTTACAGTATATATGGATTATTCCCAACTTACCATTCCTGGCATGCACATCCCTTATCTGGCACGTGCATTTCAAAGATACTGCATGCTGCATATTAAATGCCCGATTCATCTCCTACTTGGAGCACCGTCCCACGGATCGTAAACTGGTTATATAGTAACCCATGGTTCGTAAGTCCCACCAACTAGGCTTTCCATGCTTATCCCATATGAAATTTAGAGGCTTTGAACCCCACAGATCTAGATGGATATTAATATGGGATATGATATAAATCTGGGAAAATTCTCCATGTGACTAGCCAGTTCTTTTTTCGTGGGACGATCCTCCAAGCACTGCTGCCTTCCAAAAATCTAAGGCCCCAAACTGCCATGGTAGAGCATGGAGTAGGACGCTGTGGCCAGCACCTGGGAACCGCATGCGTCCACACAGCGCTTGGGATTTAACCCACGGAAGACATGAGGCACCCTCTGGAAAACATACAAAAAGCTATTGAAAATGGCCCATTTACAGTTCATTTACCAATTAAAAATGGTTTGGCCGCCCAAACCACACCCCAAATTTGGGGTATGGAATCCAAAAAAAAACAGATTTCCATTCCTTGTGTCCTGACGGTATGAATGCCACAAATATTTGGGTATAAATTGCCAAAATTTTGGGGTATAAATGACCAAACAAAAATTGGGTATAAAAGGGCCGAATACTTATTGAGGTATATATATATATACCTAGAACCTCGAAAGCGTGCAAAAATATTGCTCTTTCAGAATTATGTGGTATTTTTTTGAAACGGCACTTCTTCTGGCTGCCAGCACTTTTCCATTTTAAGATGGTTGAACTGATTTTTCAGAAATTGACAGTTTACATGAGTCTTATTGCTCCAACGGACTTTCTGAGCTCCAGAGAGTGCTACCTGATTTCGTTTGCGCCCTTTTGTGTTGCCTGGTATTGTCAATAGCTAGTTTTTGATTGGTTGGGTGTCTGGAATGATTGTGCACGAACGTTCCAGCATTATTAACGAAACAAATAACTCATGAATGTAATATTGAAAAACATGAAAAATTGAAAAAGCGCTTTTGCCCGGCGAAAAAGCGTTTTTTCAACCGAAAACGCACTTTTTCTCGTTGAAACACCTTTATTTTTTGAGGGGCATAAACCATTGCCCTGGGAGAACCAAATAACCTATGTACCGGCAATGGGTCCTTGGACAAGCCTCATTCGAATAGTTTGGCTTTAAGTAACGGGAAAATGATCTTGAACTCTGAGAGTGCAACAAAGTTTTGTCAAATAAATTGCGTGGCAGTCAGCATGTTCTACATCCTGTTCCTATGAGGGTGAAGGGCCAGGGTCAAGAGCAGAATTCCACGAAACGACCTTTTTTTCCTGAAACGACTTAAATTTCCTGAAGCAACCAAAATTATTGCATTTTCACGAAACGCCCAAAAAAAAGCAGACCATGAGGATGTAGGTATGTATATATACCCCAAATATTGGGAAAGAATCGCTGTTAGAAGCAATGCTTAAAGGGTAGAACTTCAAAACATCTTTCAAAGAGAATGTCCGTTGATGGAGTTCGCCCGAACCAGCGGCCTTTCAGAGTGCAAAAGATTGCGTTCCTCTGAGTCAAGGTGGCCGCGGCTCCGGGCGGTAGTGGGACCGCGTCCCAAAGCTGCACGTCAAGGTGAAATATACATCTACCATCAACTACCTATCTCTCTATCGACTTATCTACCTACCCAACTACCTACCTCCCTAAGTCATATATCTACCCATCGATCTATCTATCTCTTGCCTCCCGTGGAATTGACTGTTCCCGGCCTTGCCTGTTTCGACCTGGCCGTCCCTGATCACATGGCACTGCCGGGCCCAGGCCGTTCCATTGGACTCCGAAAGCCTTGGCCTGGAAGGCAAGGCCTTCCATGGCCAGCTTCGGCTTGCGCTTGGCCTTTTCTGCGGCAGCGTACAGTGACTTTCCGCCCCGCTGGAGAGAGTCGCGGGTGCCCCACAAGAAGCACTCAGGGCGATCCTCTGGCGGCGACTCCTTTTGCAGGAGGTTTGCCGGGGTGAGGCTGGCCTCCGGTGAACCCCAACCGCACGTTGTGTGCCGGAACTCGGCCGTTGGCGTACCGTGGGTCATCCTGCGCCACGCGCGGAGAACCATTATATTACTGTATATGGAGGTTTGTTTTTATTGGTTTAAGATTGTTTCCATTTAGGAGTTCTTGCGCCTCTCCCTTGCGCGCTCTTGCGCGGCCTGCGTCGCGCAGGCAAACCTGCAGCTTGCGCCAACTTGCGCGCTTAATCCCGCTGCAGAGCAGACACAGCAGTGAGCAACCCCTGCTGCGGGCTTCGACGCGCCAGCTGCTCCAACTCAGCTGCAGGCCCACCATCTGTAACTTTGCCACAGAAGTTGAGCTACTTTTCAACATGGCGACGTCCTCCAAGATCGTGCTTCAACACACAGAAACGTTTCCACACACACGCTTTTGCACGCAGACCCGTTTACACGCAGACAATTTTACACACAGACGCTTTTCCACACAGACACTTTTACACACAGACGCTTTGACACAAAGAAGCGTTTACACACAGACGCTTTTACGCCCAGACGCTTTTACACACAGACACTTTTACACACAGACGCTTTTACACACAAACGCTTTTACACACAGATGCTTTTACACACAAACACTTTCACACACAGAGACTTTTACACACAAACACTTTCACACACAGAGGCTTTTACACACAGACACTTTTACACACAGAAGCGTTTACACACAGACGCTTTTACACGCAGACCCTTTTACACACAGAAGCTTTTACACACAGACGCTTTTACACCCAGACGCTTTTACACACAGAAGCTTTTACACGCAGACCCTTTTACACACAGATGCTTCTACACACAGACGCTTTTACACGCAGAAGCGTTTACACACAGACGCTTTTACACCCAGACGCTTTTACACACAGACACTTTTACACACAGACGCTTTTACACACAAACGCTTTTACACACAGAAGCTTTTACACGCAGACCCTTTTACACACAGAAGCTTTTACACACAAACACTTTTACACACAGAGACTTTTACACACAAACACTTTCACACACACAGAGGCTTTTACACACAGACACTTTTACACACAAAAGCTTTTACACACAAAGGCTTTTACACACAAAAAGCTTTTACACACAGAAGCTTTTACACACAGACAATTTTACACACAGACAATTTTACACACAGAGACTTTAACACACAGAAGGGAAAGGGTTGCGCCGGACGCTTCATAATCGCAATTTTACTTCAGCTTTTGGCGATCGAACCTCAGCATTTCGTGCGAAAATTCCGACTGGACCCGTGAAATCACAACTTTACTTCAGTTTTTTGGCGATCGAACCTCATTTCGTGCAAAAGGGTTGCGGCCGGGCGCGGGAAATCGCAATTTTCCTTTTTTTTTGGGCGATCGAAACTCATTTCGCGCGAAAAGGTTGCGACCGGACCCGTGAAATCGCAACTTTACTTCAGTTTTTGGTGATCGAACCTCGTTTCGTGCGAAAGGGTTGCGCTCGGACAAGTGCAAATGAAAATCGCACTTTTACCATGTTTTACCCCAGTTTTTGGCGATCGAACCTCATTTCGTGCAAAAGGGTTGCGGCCGGGCGCGATCGAACCAAATTTCGTGCGAAAGGGTTGCGACCGGACCTGTGAAATCGCAACTTTACTTCAGTTTCTGGCGATCGAACCTCGTTTCGTGCGAAAGGGTTGCGCTCGGACAAGTGCAAATGAAAATCGCAGTTTTACCATGTTTTACCTCAGTTTTTGGCGATCGAACCTCATTTCGTGCGAAAGGGTTGCGTTTCGTGCCGTCTCGTTGGCACTGCCCCGCGCCTTCAAGAGAGAAATAGAAAAGAAGGAGAGCAAGAGGGCAAGAGAGCAAGAGGGCAAGAGAGAATGTGACGATGTGAAAATCAGAAGATGAGAAGATGAGAAGATGTGAAGATGAGAAGATGTGAAGATGTGAAGATGCGAGGATGTGAAGATGTGAGGATGTGAAGATGTGAAGATGACAAGATGTGAAGATGAGAAGATGTGAAGATGTGAAGATGTGAAGATGTGAGGATGTGAAGATGTGAAGATGTGAGGATGAGAAGATGTGAAGATGTGAAGATGTGAAGATGTGAGGATGTGAAGATGTGAGGATGTGTAGATGTGAAGATGTGAAGATGTGAAGATGTGAGGATGGGAAGATGTGAAGATGTGAGGATGTGAAGATGTGAGGATGTGAAGATGTGAGGATGTGAAGATGTGAAGATGTGAGGATGTGAAGATGTGAGGATGTGTAGATGTGAAGATGTGAAGATGTGAAGATGTGAGGATGTGAAGATGTGAAGATGTGAGGATGTGAAGATGTGAGGATGTGAAGATGTGAGGATGTGAAGATGTGAAGATGTGAAAATGTTTGACAGACCCCCACTATTAGAAGAACCCTTCGCTCAGACGCTCTTGGGAAAAATTGCTCTTACACTGGCGAGAGGGCTGATCCACACCACCCGCCATCAAGGATTCAGCACTTTATGGCACTACCAGCCCTCTAAAGTGACACATGAAAACTACTCCTATCCCATCCCTTTGTACGGATTCTTTAGTAAAATTTTCTATTGTGGGTTGGAAGCATCCCCACTAGTCATTATCTTGAACTAGGTAGTATAACATAGTATAACTACATATAGAGATCATTAGAAATCAATCAACCGCTATCTGTGAATTACACTATATTACCATGGGAAGGGCTTATGACCACACATTTGCTGGTTAAAAACCCATTAAACAACTTCAATGACCGTTACATCTGGATGGGAACCAACCAACCGAGGGATTCTTAACCCAGTTCTATGTGGGTTATACTTACTCAATTGATTATGCACAATGAGTTGTTACCAACTCACTAATTGGGACGCACCATCAAGTATAGCAACCAATCAACCATCAATTATCAATATATCTCCAGTTTCTGTTCTTAAAGCCATATTTTCTGGTTACATCCCCATCAAATCACCATTCAATGACCCATAATCATCAGCCACCAAATTCTAAAGGGTATTTTGTTACGACTCAAATACCTTGACGACTCCAACGTCACTGGGGCTCACCAACGCTGGGATCTTCCACTTCACATTGCTGTCGCAGCCGCATCATGAGCTGATGCATCTGCCTTGGCCGCCCTTGACTCCACTGGGCACCGGGGGTGGAAAAAAAATTGTGAAATCCAGAATGCTTGGACAAACTCAAATATTGATCAGTTCTTTGCAACATCAAAAATCACATTGAAATCCCAGGGAAATCCAGCTAAATCCAACTAAATCCAATTTTTTCAGAGTCCATTAAAATCCCATAAAATCACTATCAAAGTCCCATGAAATTCTATAAAATCTCAGAAATCCAAGGAACAAAAACATGAAATCAATGAAATCCCATCGTTAACAAAAAACTCTATGCTGTGTAAACTCCATATCAATTCAACCCTTGAACCACCGGTCCGGTGGCACCAAACCAAGCAAACCAAGCTGCGGCCGCGACTCGAGCGCTTCTACGCCAGCCTGCGGAGTTGCGATTACCAGTGGATCCCTAAATGGTGAACCGATGGAAAACATTGGAAAACTACAAAAGAAACCTTCAGAAAATCACCAGGAAATTCCCTGGTGATTTTTCACTGGTGATTTTTTGGTTGAGTTGCCTAGAGAGTGACTTGGAAAAACTCTAGGAATTTCTTGGTTTACCCGTTTACCCCAGATAAAGCTATCGATTCGGCAATGGATGCCCCATGTCCCTCGAACAAACCTGCGCTTCCGACTGGAATGAAGCTTGGTCCGGGGCCATGGTCAGGGCATGTCTGGGCTGTTTGGGTTTCAAACTCTTTGGAAAATACCCTCTGGTTATTTAACATAGCCATGGTATAGATGGCCCATAGAAATAGATGGTCTACCTATTAATAGCATGGTGATTTTCCATGTTAAATAACCAGATGGTAATTCTTGATCAACCTAATTACATATGTAATCTAACACAGCAATGGAAAATCCCTGCAACTATATCACCTAATATATATATATATGATTATATATGTATATATGGTTGGTGGTTTTAATAATATTGAAAAATATGAAAGTCGTTGGGAAGGATTATTCCCATATATTATGGAAAATAGCCAACATCTTTGAAACCACCAACCAGCTTTATGTCTTGCTTCAAGCTCCATTAAGTTCAGCGATATATCATGCCCCCTCCGAGCACAGCCTGCAAAGCAATGCTGCCTTGGAATTTTGGCGGCACGAACATGGAGTGACATGTTTTCCAGACATTCCTGGCGTACGTCTGGACGTCTCTGAAAATAGGGGATCCCCAAGTCACCATAGGGTTCAATACTAAGTCATGGTCCAATATCGATGATTCCGGGATACCTCCAGGACTTCGGAACCCCCCCCTGTCATGTCTACCCTTGCGCCCGTGCGCCTCTCATGTCATCAAGTAATGGATCATGATAGCCTCTGGTAATTTCACATAGCTATAGAAAATCCACCCGTTTAAGAACGGTGTTTACCATCTATTTCGATAAATGGGCCATCGAAAAACCATAGCTTTTTGTATGTTTACCAGAGGGTAATCCCCAATGGATTGGCCAAAAAACTGCTGCCTGGTTTGTTTGAAAATAGGGCAAACCAATCCACTGGCTCCACTGATCGCTATCCCCAAAAAGGATCTGCCATGGCCATGTGGAAAATTGTACACCGTAAAAAAACGGAGAAACGCCAAGAAAAGAACATCAGAACATCACATTAAATTCTTGGTGAGTTATACAATGACATCCGATCATACCCGATGATTCATCCCATTAAAGGTTACCCTCTGGTAAACTAACATAGCTATAGAAAATGGCCCATTGAAATCGTTGATTTTCCTATAACAAATGGGTGGATCTTTCCAGTTCGCTATGTCACAGTCATTACCAGAGGATATCCATGGAAGCCATGGCCCATAGAAATAGATGATTTTCCTATGAATACCTCCATTTATGGTTGGGATTTTCCATGGCTATGTTGCCTTTTTCCCAATTGACTTGCTGTTACATCAGAATTTCCCATGCCAGGACGGCTCAGTTTCTGGAGATCTAGAATGCAGTCGGACTCAGCTGACTCAGCCAGCCAGAAATTTGGGGAGTCAAACAAGTCAAACGTCAAAGCCATGCCCATTTATCCTCTGGTAAACATACAAAAAACTATGGAAAGATCCACCATGTTTAATGGGAAAACTCACTATTTCTATGGCCATTTTCAATAGCTTTTTGTTAACGTTTACCAGAGGGTACAGAAACCGGTGCTTAGTAGGGAATAGGGGAATGGTCTATGATCTATAATAATAGCTATTTTTACAATTATTAACAGCCATCCCATTCCCCCATTCCCTACTAAGCACCAGGAAGTTTATCTGGGCAAAACACCAAAAAACTCACACGAAATCAGCTCCATATATAAGGTCGATGAATTTCAGGCCTATGTTTCAGGGAATACCCCCGCAAAATATGGCCTTACCCTCTGGTAAACGTTTACGTAGCTATGGAAAATCACTAGTTTCATACAGGTAAATCAAGTATAAATGGGCCATTTTCTATAGCTATGTTAGTCATTACCAGAGGGTATATGGTACAGTACCTCCATATTAGGATCCTGAAATCAGCCCCTTTTCATCTCACCAGTGCGGTCCAAAGTGGCTGATTTCCACCCGTCCACGGGACATGTCCTGATGGGCGAGCTGAAGGTGCAAATGATATGGGATGGTCGTAGAAGTTGATGACGGGATATGTGATTGCAGGAAAACACTATCTATATATATATATCCCATATGCAATGGTAAAAACCATCGATAGCCATAGTATTCTGTAAATTATGTCAGAATTGGATGATGTTTTTTTTTTCCCGCAGTAAAACCATGCAAATTATGATCAAAAAGAAGATGGCTTCCTGAAAATGTTCCCTTGAACTTATCCCATGAAATATGGGGCAGTAGTGCAAATATGTGCAAATCATATTCGGAATACAACAACTATGATATGGGATAATTAATTGGCTAATTTTCATGATATGCATAAGTTTGCATCATTTGCAATGATATGGAACATCGTTAATGAGGGGAGAATGGGAATCACAACGTAATTGTTCGGCATTTTTTTCGAAGACTTACCATCCTCAGGGTCGGCCCTAAAAAGGGCCCTCATCTAATCCCAATTGGTTGTTTGGTTGATGGTAAATATACGTCAATTACTTAAATGGCAAATTATCAGACTGCGTCGTTAAGTCTTCTTCAATAATGCCAACTGATTATCTCATTCTGGAATGAGGCGTTAAAAACCAACCACAATCATGTATAAAATGTAATGAGATCTCGATAACAATAGCACCTATATGATATAGTAACATAGTAGAAAGGAAACCGGGTGCCCTAAGCCTCCAAATGGGATGGAGTTATACCGTGATACCATGTGATTGGACCTCTGGGAAGGCATTGAAATTTCTATCTGTGATAGAAGGTCAGCTGCTCCCCGGCTTGATCGAATAACATTTTTCCGCTGTGCACCGTGCACTTCAGCAAGGGGCCCCCATTTTCAGACACCACTGAATCCATATTTTTGGGTGAAATCGCAAATGTGTGCTTTTAAAAAAGTCAGGTACTTTTTCCGCTCAATCTTCGCATTTTTGGGGGTTAGATCATGTGAAAAATCCCAATCTGGTTGGTGGTTTATTTTAACCATCTTGAAAAATATGAGTTCGTCAGTTAGGAAGGATTATCTCGACAATATTATGGAAAATAGCCAATTCCATGGTTTGGAAACCACCAACCAGTGATTATTAACCATTATTAACCATCATTTACCATCATTACCCCATACTAAACCAATGTTTGAAACCACCAACCACCAACCACCACCAACCAATGTTTGAAACCAACCAGAATTTTTGGGGCTGGTCAAATCCCCATTTTCCCCATGGATTTTTGCTACATCCGGCAGGCCCTGCCTCCAACACTCCCACGGCGGCTCGCCAGGCATCCCCTTGTTGGCACGCAGCCAGGGCGGCCCTGGCGTTTTTCGCAACGAAACTGGTGGATTCCATGGGGAAGATCATGGGAAGATCATGGGAAGATCATGGGATGTGATAGGGATAGCATTAGTATATAATAGTATCTATACGGTATTAGTGTGACACAAATTATACGCTATTAATGGCTTTTTAGACGCATTTTTAGTACACAGACTTGAGGGATATGATAGGGATATGATAGGGAAAAAACATGGGAATATCATGGGGGAGGAAAAATTGTTGGTGGTTGAGATAGCCCCCGAGATAATCCCAGGATCGAAAACGAAGATATTTCAAAGCACCGAGTAGAAATAAGAAAACCATATAATTGTCCATCATGGGGTAACCAATCTATTTGTATTTGGATTATACCATTAATGTTAATAAACCCCTAGGTTGTTTAATTGGGGGGATACCATTTAAGTATCGTATTGATTGTGACTATTTGGAGGCTACCCCCATGGTTGAAAAAAATCCGGAGTTGGCATTATACCATGAATTTAATGCAACATGATTCAACATGATTTGGGTATGAGTCAAAACTAGGTACCCCAATACTAGATCTATTACTACTAACTATAGACCCATATAAATCATATCATAAGGTTGGTTACAATGATCTGACATGATCTGACTATAGTCCCATTTTTTAAGGTTAACTAACTAACTTCTTACTAGATCTCTGGTCCCCAGGTCTCAACATTGACCCATCACCATGTATCATCCCATGGATGGATCCCCAGTCACTCGTCACCATTACGCGACTGAAAAAGACATGGTTACCATCTGGTTATGACTAACAGTTCGCCATGGAAAATCCCTGAACTAAATGGGGCTTTAAAGCTGGGAAAATCATCTATTTCGATTAGGGCCATCGAAAAACCATGGCTATGTTAGTCATAACCAGAGGGTAAGTCACGGTGGAAAAATAACTTGGATGATTTTTATGGGATTTTCCATGAAAAAATTGGATTTTCCCGAAAAAACACCATCCATTTGGGTGGGCGCTTCCCCAGAAGTTCTGGTTGGAGGTCTCTCTACCCTCTGGTAATGACTAACGTAGCTATTGAACATGGCCATGTATAGTGGATTTACCCATTAATAGCATGGTGATTTTTCATAGTTTTTTGTATGTTTACCAGAGGGTAATCAATTTTTGTAATTGACCAGCTGGACGTCATGCTGGAATTCATGAGCTTCATGAGCTTCCAAAATGTTGTTTCACAGTGACCCACATGGTGCAATCCATGTCAGGGGGCCACCTTTTGGACCAACCATGACAGTCATCATGGCTTTGTCTGAGCATTGTGCACCTCATCCACTGGTCTATCATGTTCCCAATGAAATTTACCCTCTGGTTATGTCATAGCATAGCTATTGAAAATGGCCATAGAAATAGTGAATTGTCCCATTCAACATGGTGGATATTTCCATAGATTTTTGTAAACGTTTACCAGAGGGTAATGGCTGTGACTGGGGGTCATACTCCGCTTTCAGACACACCCATCTATCTGCGATAGTGGGCTTTGCTCCTTCTATAAATGGAGCCTCCCAAAACTTATCCCAGCTCCGAGCAAAACACCTCGGCTTTTCAGGGCAATCCCGAAATCTGGTTGTCGAAATCTTCGAACATCTTGGATCTACTTATGTTGGATCCTAACTTTTTCGGATGGGATCAGTTGCAATCCCAAAATAGCTGGTTAAGATGGCTGTGGAGTTGTTGATTCAATTCACATATTTTCTCGGAAAATAATCCTATATATTCTGAGTTGCTGCGTGTTTTTTGAACAACTCCCTGGATGTTGCTAAAACGTAGCCATCCATAGCCCATTTTAGTTGAACAAACTTCTGATCTCGAATGGTTGTACTATTCGAAGGTCTGCGCCAAGGTACTTTCTCGTTTGTGGTCTTGCTCAGGTCAAGTGTCTGTCTCAAGGATCCCCATTGAAACACGACGGACGACGAAAGACGACGAAGAGAAAAAACGAGCAAAAGGGTTTCAAGGGTTCCTCTACAGGACCTCCGGGGGAAGAAATTCCAAGGGTTCCTCTCCGGGACCTCCGGGGAGAAAAAATAAAAATAAAAATTTAGAAAAAAATAAGACGGGCACATACCATTGAGAAAAACACATAGCATGTTTTATGCATATTTGCAAGGTTCGGTCGCAAGTGTTCTTCCCCGGGGTATGGGTTTGTCTCCGGGATTTTATTTTATTTTTTATTTTTTTGGCAGCCTTGAGCGCGAACCTTCACTGTGGGAAAACACTTGGCCTTGAGAAATCCTTCGTACATGGGAAAGTTTTCCAGGAATACGGTTGGGAAACCAGGACCTTTGAGGAGGGGAAAAAGAAAGCACCTTTGATACAGGGAGGAGGGTTGAGACAGGCACATACCATTGAGAAGGTAGAAAACCCTTCATCCAGACTTTTGAACTATGGCTAAAACATGTCATAAACCCACCATCCCCCAGGAAAATCACAATTTTTATGGCTGCTCTAAACCAAAATATGGGTGGTCTATTTTTGTACTGACATTGTCATTCAGATTTTCTGGCTTCCTCGACCCCCCGTTTTACGGCACCCGTAAGACTTCAGCGACTTCAGGTCCTTCTGTTTCGCCTCCTGGAATCAATGGCTACAAAAAGAGGACCGCAAGGGCCGCAAGGTGTTGCAGAGTGAGTGTGTATTGGGACCCACGCTGTATGCATACGTGTATGTATATATGTATAATATCTATATATATATATATTATGTGTATATATATATATTATGTATATATATATATGTCTGTGTATACTGTATGTGTTTATACACATCAGATAATCTCAGTTTCTAAGCTGGTTACATTTTTTGGCATCCCATTTTACGGCATCAACTGCAGTTTTCTATGGTGATGCGTTCCATTACCATCTGGCAAAGACAGTATGGGTTTGTCTAAAACGGTTTTTTTTTCGGTATACCCACAATATAACGCCAGCTTCATCGCGAAAATGGTGGTAAACCATGGTTTGGGGTAATTACCCCATGTTATACATCTGATGAACAAAGCACCCTCTGATGAAAATGGCCATAGAAATAGTTGATTTACCCATTAATAGCATGGTGAATGCATGGTGATGTTCCATCGTTTTTTGTAAACGTTTACCAGAGGGTACAACAAGAGGGACTGGCAGCCGGAGGCATCCAACGGACGCTTCCGAGTTAATCGTTTCCAGCGCTTGAATTCCATCGGGTGATCCAGGTCCAACTTGACACGGAAAGACAACCAGAGGAATCCACGATAAAGAACCAGGGGTTGGTAAATGTCTAATTGAACATCACCCAAGATATACCCTTTGGTAAACGTTTACAAAAAAACTATGGAAAATCACCATTTTGAATGGGTAAATCAACTATTTCAATGGCCATGTTCAATAGCTATGTTTGTTTACCAGAGGGTAAATGTCTAATTGAACATCACCCAAAATATACTGGTTGGTGGATTCAACCCCTCTGAAAAATATGAGTTCGTCAGTTGGGATGATGACATTCCCAATATATGGAAAGTCATAAAATTCCATGGTTCCAGTCACCACCAACCAGTATACAGCAACACGATCTCCAACAGATACTTGAAAGTGATGTTCAAAATCTATCAAAATCTCTAAAATGGGACATTTACCAAGCCCTGACCATCAGCTTCAAATCCCCATTCCATGCGACATCATGCGACATCTTTCATGACGGGCCTCATCAGTAGACATTGGAAATAGGGAGCAGTGTTCAAAAAGCCTATGTCGTCCGCGTGTAATTTCCCCGAATGGATTGTGAAATTTCCCAATATATAGGTTACCATCTGGTTATTTGTGCCAGTTTGCCATGGAAAATCACCATGCTATTAAGAGGTAAAACACCTATTTCGATTAGGGCCATTTTCCATGGCTATGTTAAATAACCAGAGGATAATCATAATCCCCTATAATCATCAGCTAACCAGGGTTTGAACAATGCTCCAATACATCCCAACTCTTGCAGCGTCGCTATCCAAAACGCCTCCAAGGAGTGTACAGCTCGAGCCCATTGGAAGCCTCCGGTCAGCCGAAAATTGTGATTTAACTAGTGACAATGGTGATGGTAATAACCAATAAACATAGGGCATTGGGTTTTGACCAACGAAAACAAAAACAAAAAAAGGGGCTGTGAACCTTTTCAACGGGTCGAAAACCAGCGCCTAATTCAGCAACCGATCTTGAAGGGACCAATTTTGGATGTTTCATTGACGTTACCAGTGGGTTACCATTCGCCATACTTGTGGGAAAAAAACAAAAATCGCCATGATCATCATGGGTATATAATTCGGTGTCCAACAATACTTTGGAATACAACCTAACTCCAGATGAACTATCACCATCATCAGCCTTCTGGTTGGTGATACGTATATGCATATATATATATATTATACATATATATGGGGTTTCCCAGAAATGGGGATACCCCTAGTTATCATCCATTTATAGATCGGATTTTCCATGAAATAAACCCTCCAGCTATTGGGGATCCTTCATGGAAAGCCAAATACATAATTTACACATACATATTACGCTCTGGCAAACGTTTACATAATTAACTATGGACAATCAATATTTTCTAGTAGGTAAATCATCTATAAATGGTACATCTATAAATGGGTTGGTAGGTAAATCAACATGGGGGTAAATCATCTATAAATGGTACATTTTCCATGTTTGACAACTAACCCCCCATCACACCCCCAGCGCGATTTCGCGCGAAAAAACGCCTGCCTTTCTCCAAGCAGCTGGTGAAGCAGCTGGTGCTCGCAGCGCCTGTAGGTCAACGTCCAGATTTTGGGATAGTTCTGTTAGATGGAATAAATAGACAAATGATAAAGAAAACAATACAGAAATCAAGAAAAATAACATCTGGTAAAAAAAAAAAACATCTCTAACGTATATATATATATAACAACATTAGTATATTGTTTTTATATGTGCTATATATATATCTACAGCCAAAACAAAAGTCACTGATTTGCTGCTCCATCCTCCTGGGGTATAGCCATGAAATTTGGTGATCATATAGAATTTTCATGATAACTATACTGACTATACTGATTATATCATCAAATTTGGGGGGGCCTTATTTGCAGAGAACCTAAATCATGCTAAATCATCGCTGTATCCCCACGGCGTCCCCGGAAATATCCTCATATCCCCATTAGTATGGCAACATACCGGTACCGTTTTCCTTACGAAGTGAGGTCAAACAAATCCGGAGGGTAATCATCAACGGCTTCGCAGATTGAAACTTCGCAGCCTGTTTTCTCATTGGTTTATAAACCCAAATAACTCATATAAGCCTAAATATATCCACAACCTCAAGTTTACCCCAAACTAAACAGGCTTAAGGAACTGGGGCACCATCTTAGTGAAGGTTAAGATATATTCCATTTTTGTTATCATATCATATCATATCATTCCATGAGGACGGTCCGTTCAATTCCTTAAAGATCATTAGAGTCCATTAAATCCCCAGGAATTAACATTTACTATAATGGTTTACCATTAAAGATCCATATCATAATGGTTTACTATAATGGTTTATGGAATCCCATGAAATTAATTGATTAATATTAAAGATCCATTAAACCATATGAAATCCCCATGAATAATCTCCATTTTTCCATCCAGGTTCCCAGGTTCCAAGATCATCGCCCAAGCCACTCGGTTGCATCCGGATCTTGGTCGACAGCAACTGGCTGGCGTGTTGCCATGGTTGCGCTTGGAAGATCAACCTAGGCCACCAGGGGCTTCTTGCTGCTGCGTGCGTGCTAAACGTAGGGTTGCTGGATGGGTTTTACGTAGGGTGGGATGATGACATGAAACGAATTAGTGATGACTGGGATCATTCCCGAAAATTCCCTGCTAAGATAATTCCCGAAAATTCCCAGCATTCCAAAAAGGATGATTATTACTGGTGATGACTGGGATCGTTACTAGTGATTACTAGAAAAGTAAGGCTTTTATTAGGGACGCTGCACAAAAATATAGCTCAATGGATTCCATGGGTTGGAGGATCCCAGTTGAACTCACTGGCAACTGGCTCCGATCAGTGGGCTTTGACAGGGCCAGCTATACACGGGATAACCTTACTTTGGCCATGGCTTACGAAAAGCGCTTCCGAGAAAAGTGGGACGATCCTCCAAGGGGATTATCACAAGGGTAACTTCAAATCATGCAATGGGATGGTGGCATATATCGACAAAAACTTAAAAATGAGATGGTAACAAAATGCTGAATGGTTGATAGATGTTGATATAGTGGTTTACAATTGTCAATACTGGGCTGGTGATTTTTTTTGTTGGGACCTTTTTTCGCAAAGCCCAAAACGATGAACAAATAGAATCCGACAATTGGTGGAGCGCATTTTGTTATTGGTTCCACCTCTATTTGTTGAGAAATCCAATCTTTGTGTTGGTGGTTGGTTAAACAACAACTTTGACTGTTTGAAACATCACTTTACTTTTTGATACTTTTTGATGATTTTAGCTTGATGGGTAAATCCCATGTAGGCATATGTAGGCTATGTGCGTGGTTGAAGTCGTCAAGTTTTGCCGGTGACTGTTAAACACACGGTTTTCTTATGGTAACTCATTTTCTTGTTGATCAACTTATCATTCTGATTGGTCAAATCCATATCCTTCTTGCTTCAATCCACATTATTCTTGGTAAGATCATGTTGAATCCGCAAAAAAAATCTCAGTGAAACCCAAACATCTCGACTCAATCCAACTTTCTTTTCGCTTAAATCATTGAAAAATCCCATTTTTTTAAATCAAAATCGAAGATTCTTGGTTAACCATCTGGTGATGACATTCACAGTTTGCCATGGTATATTTATAGATGGCCCATTTATCGAAATAGATGGTTTACCGTTCTGAATTTATAGCATGGTGATCATTTCCATGGCGAACTGTTAGTCATAACCAGATGGTAAGCCAATCAGATGATTTTCCCATCTATAAACCTCCATTTATGGTTAGGATTTTCCATGGCGAACTGTTAGTCATAACCAGATGGTAACCATGGTTATTTAACAGTTCGCCATGGAAGTTATCACCATGCTATTAAGAACGGTAAACCATCTATTTCGATTAGGGCCATCTATACCATGGCTATGTTAAATAGCCAGAGGGTAACTCCTAATTTTAGATGTTTAATTATTAGATGGTGTTTTAGATGGTATAATAATTAAAAAAAATATCTGGTTGGTGACTTAACCATGGTTACCCTCTGGTAAACTAACATAGCTATGAAAATGGCCATTTATAGTGGATTTTCCCATTAAAAAAGGTGATTTTCCATAGTTACGTTAGTTTACCAGAGGGTAACCCCCCTTTATTTCGCTGCCATCCATCCATCCACCATCGCCCAGCAGCTCTGCTTCCTTCTCAAAGCCCTGATTGCCGCAGGCCATCGCTGTGGCCACCAACAAGGCCTGCGGAAGAAGACCGACTGTTGGTGGTTTCAAACGTTGGTTTAGTATGGGTTAATGATGGTTAATGATGGTTGATGATGGTTAATGATGGTTAATTTTTACATAGCTATGGAAAATGGACGACTTTTAGATGACTTAATATTTGCCTATTCAAACTGGAGATTTTCCATAGCTACTGTGGATGGTTGCGAAATCCTGCACCACCAAAAGGATGGTTGAAACATGTTGAAACCCTATAAATCATGGGATGTCAAAACCACCTATCAACTGGTGATTCGGATTTCTTCCATCCACAGTAGAAATGCTTGGGGTGACCTAGAAATTAACATCAGAATCATATCATTTAATAATATTTAATATATACGTAATTTCATATCAAATATCATGAAAAAGAATAAATATCATGAAGCAATTCACCACCCTCCGCTTTTTCTGATCTTTCAAAATCGTGTCCATAATTGTCCCCCACAAAGGTTCCATGAATCTCCCATTGAAACGCCAATTTATAGAGGATGTTGTCCATTCCCTTGTTGAATCTTATGATTACCCTCTGGTAATTTAACATAGCTATTGAAAATGGCCATTTATAGTGAATTTTCTCATTCAACATGGTGATTTTCCGTAGTTATGTTAGTTTACCAGAGGGTATTTCCCCATTTTTGGGCGACACATTTTTAGAACCATCGGACCATGCGGGTCTATGATCTCCCCATGATATTCCCAGGAAAATCCCGGAACCCCCTCATTTTTCACGGCCACGAATCATGGTTTGGTAGGGGATTTACACAGATTTGGGACCATACAATGAGGGTGTTGAATATGAACGGGGATGAGATTGTACTAAATAATTGTATCCCCCCCCACTGCCTATTATCGTCAACCAGAATCATTAACCATCATTAACCACCAAAATATCCCAGAATATCATCCCGAAATATCCACAATGTTTGTAAGTTGAACCCATTACCCTCTGGTTATGTCAAACATAGCTATTGAAAATGACCATTAATAGTGGATTTTCCCATTAAAAATGGTGATTTTCCATAGCTATGTTAAATTACCAGAGGGTATCAACCATCAAAAACTGCTTGGTGGTTTTTCGCCCTACCCCTCGGAAAAATGATGGAGTGAGTAACAGTTGGGAAGGATGACATCCCATATATGAAATGGAAAAAATAGAATTCATGTTCCAAAGCACCAACCAGATAAGATAATGTCAACCCTGGATTAATAAACCCCTAGATTGTTTAATTGGGAGGGTACCATAAAAAAGTATCAGATGAAATGACTATTGGAGGAGTACCCCCTAATTAATAAACCATGGTTTAGCAAAATCCGGGGTTGACATTATCCCCATCGGGTCATTACCATGAAACACACAAACATCGTCCCCTATGACATCGACGAATCGTCGCCTCATCCGGTTGCAGGCTGCGGCGACGCACAGTGGAGAAGAGTGACAGGGCCATGCGCCAACCTACCGCTGGGCTGCTGGGCGAGTATTGGAGTGGCGGTTCTAGCCCAGTTTTAGAAAACAAACATAGCTATTGAAAATGGCCATAGAAATAGTGAGTGTTCCCATTATGATGTAAAAAAAATACTGGAGGGTCGTGGCTGTGAGGATAGAACAACCCAGGGTAAGACCACCATTTTTGTGGAACTATGAAGACTGCAGAGCCATCATTTGGAGGTTTCCAATCCATGGTGGTACCCCTAGTTATCATCCATTTATAGATGTTTTCCATGAAATAAACTAAAGAAACCATCCACTGGTTGGTGGTGCAATAATCATGTTGAAAAATCATGGAGTTCGTCAATGGGTTTCGGATGACATCCTATAGATGAAATGGAAAATAACAAAAAATCCATGGTTTGAAACCACCAAGCAGTGATTATTAACCATTATTAACCGTCCCATAGGATCCATGTATGGTATATATGCTAACATTGAAGGTATATTAATGGTAAATGTTACCATATATGGCAGCACCATGGATCCTATGGGCATCATTAACCATCATTAACCATTATTAACCACTATTAACCAATATTAACCATCATTAACCATCATTAACCATCATTACCCCATACTAAACCAATGATTGAAACCACCTGCTGCATTCCACATCTTGGGAACCAGTCCTGTGCTGCGTCCATATGCGGCGCTGAGACCAAGGTAACCTTGGCGTGAAATGAGACTTGCGCAATGGACAGGCGCCAGGGCACCCAGGTCACCAGCAACCACTGTCCATGAAGGTTGGACGAATCTTGACTGACAAAAATGGAGTGTACCCTCTGGTGAACTAACATAGCAATGGAAAATGGCCATTTATAGTGGATTTTCCCATTAAAAATTGTGATTTTCCATTGCTATGTTAGTTCACCAGAGGGTATTGATTGTTCAACAGGGAGGTGAGTTTTTTAATGTTCATGCCAAGATGTCCTGGAAATTCCATTGGTTTCCAAATCATGCGCGTCTGCCGTCGGCCTGACAAAATAATATATATATATTCAGCAGCATGTCTAAGAATAGACATTCAAGACCTGTTCTGGACAGTTTCACAGGTTGCAGTGGACCTGGGAACGACCGTACGACCAAGATTCAGAGACTCAAATTGAGACGGGCAAACAGGTGACTGCTGATCATTTACTGCTTGGTGGTTGAGCCCTACCCCTCTGAAAAATGATGGAGTTCGTCAGTTGGGATGATGACATTCAATATATGGAAAAATAAAAAATGTTCCAAAGCACCAACCAGTTTATGTACGATCCTCCGAGCCCACAAAAATGACAGAATTTCTGTTGAACCATCCATTCTGTTTGTTTTTTTCTCTTGACCCCGCCCAAATCGAGAAAGAAAACTACAGCTGACACCGCCTGGGTGGACATATCAAGGGCGCCTATGGTTTTTGATCTATATTCCTTGTTCTCAAAACGAGAACATTTCTAGAGAAATATACATGTATACACACTTTATTTATATGTATTGAATGTATTGATACTGTATGGACATATTATTTATATATATATAATTATATGTTTGCGAAACTTTTGCGATTTCCACTTTCGTCTTTCGCAAAGGGTCCCATCGTCAATTCTGTGGCCATGCTGCTAGTTTTAAGACGAGGTTGGTGAGATTGTCCAAGGATTGTTAATTGTATATCAGTATCTCCCGATAAGTTTGGTTTCTCAAGAACAAAGCATGCAGCTTACCCTCTGGTAAACTAACATAGCTATGGAAAATTACCATGCTATTAACAGGTAGATCAACTATTTCGATTAGGGCCATCTATACCATAACATAATGTAAGTCATTACCAAAGGGTATGGTTTACCAATGAGGGACACCCGGCCCACCATGGAGTTTTTCCATCGCTGGTGGTTTCACCACGACCTGGGAAACCCCAGGGTCATCCCATGAGTGTCCCTCATTGCCGTAACTCGGGGTATACAGAAATTGTCAGTGCCAACTATGTTATTGAGTTTATAACTCATGAATATGAATGATATCCCATTCATATTCCAATTGTGTCGCATTTCCAGACATATCCCTTCATATTCCCATGTGAAGGTTTCCTAAGTCTTAGGGCTGCTCTAGTCATCCACTTATGGATTGTCCATGTTCAAGGCAAAAATCCAGCGTTTTTGGGGCTGGAACCCCCGTTGGAATCGTCCCATAAAATCCAGCAACTGGTCACAGAGGGTTGAATCGCCAAGATGGTCATCCGCTGCAGAAGCCTTCCGAGAATCCGAATTCGCAACAAAAATGCTGGGGGTTTTATCAACCCAACCAAAAATTGTGATTTTATATGTTGTATGGCTTTATATGGTTTTATATGGTTTTATATGGTTTTATATGGTTTTATATGGTTTTATATGGTTTTCTGGGTGTTTACCATGTTTATTATTCTTTTATACCTACCGTTTCATCTATGTTCTGGAAGCATCATGGGGTATGATATGATATTAAGGGATTTTACCAACAAAGTGAGAGGTTATCAACAGAAACAAACAGGATGGCCCCCCCCCAGTTATAAGTTGGTTTATAACCCCATCTATTGTATCATACACTATTGTTACTATAGTTATAATAAAATTAGCTAACGAATTGGGGCCCAATCCTGAAAGAAACATGAGGTTTCACTGAAACATGTGATGAAATGGGAATTCTATGCGGCCTGTGGAGACCATCAGTCGATGGGTCTGACGAAAATAAACCGCTGGATTGTGGATGATTTGCATGAAAAAAACACCTCCAATGATTGATCTCCCAATTGGAACTATTGGAACTAATGAAAATCCAATTGGAAAATCCAAAAGTTAGTTGTTCAGGGAAAATTTTGATTTTGTCATGTTTAAAATCCAATCGTTAGTTGAAAATCCCAAATGTTCTTTCGAAAATCATCATTTCCCCTAAAAATAATCACTGGTTGGTGGTTTCAACCTACCCCTCTGAAAAATGATGGAGTTCGTCAGTTGGGATGATGAAGATCTCCCAACTGAATGGAAAGTCATTCAAAATTCCATGGTTCCCGTCACCACCAACCAGATCATCATCATATTCCCATTGTTGTTGGTTTATAGCCTATTAACCACTATTAACCACTATTAACCACTATTAACCACTATTAACCACTATTAACCACTATTAACCACTATTAACCACTATTATTAACCACTATTAACCACTATTAACCACTATTAACCACTATTAACCACTATTAACCACTATTAACCACTATTAACCACTATTAACCACTATTAACACCCCATTTTCCCCAGTAAAATCACCCCAATTTTTGTGCCACCACCAGTCACCATTCCTCACCTCGCCGCAACCTCCGGCCGTGCGGCGCGTTCACAGGCACTCAAGGCACCGTTGAAGCCTTCCAGTGAAATTGGTGGCTTTACCTTCCATGGAAATGGGATACATGTATATATATATATATACATATACATATACATAATAGTTAATCATATAATATACAATACATAATATATAATATATATAATTTAATAGTTAATATTTAATATTTAATATTTAATATAAAATATAATATATAATATATAACATATAACATATAACATAAAATATATAACATATAACATATTATAAATGTGATATATAATATATAGTATATAATATATAATATATAATATATAATATATAATATATAATATATAATATATGATATATAATATATAATATCTAATATCTAATATATAATATATAATATATAATATATAATATATAATATATAATATAATATATATATAATATAATGTATAATATATATAATATATAATATAAAATATATAATATATAATGAGACGCCGAGTGTTGCCCAGACATTAACATTGAGGATGTCGTGATGTTGGATAAGATAGGAGAGATTGCAGAAAATACTGCATATATATATATACACAGAGTTTTCTGGCTTAGGATTCAAAGTTTTCAGGGTTTAGGTTTTAGGGTTTAGGGTGTAAGGTTTTAGGGTTTTAGGTTTTAGGGTTTTTGTGTTAGGATTTAGGGTTTAGGGCTCGTCGTCTGGGAAATCTCAAAACACTGGCCCTGCGCAGGTGTTTGAGATTGTTTGAGCATGTTGAAGGATAATGCTTAAACGCCATGTGAACTTTCCGGGCAACACGCAGCGCCTAGCCGTAATATTATATTGGATTGTACATAATACATAACTTATAAAATCCACAATATGGTTACAGGATGGTGCCCCCCAGGTATAAGTTGGTTTATAAACCCCATTAACTATAGTTATATCTACCATAAACCATAGTTATGGGAGTTATAAGCCAACTTAGCTAACTATGGGGCACCACCTTGTAGTAATGGACAATGGTATTTGGATATAATACTTGGACTCAATGGAATATAAAGGAAATAGACTTCTCGAGTCCCAGTGGGTGAAGTCAACAGACACGGATTGACGAAGTTTTTAATAAAATGTTCATGGGATGTCAGACATGATAGTACCGTCTGGTTATTTAACATAGCCATGGAAAATCACCATTGTTAATAGGTAAACCTCTATAAATGGGCCATCTATACCATGGCTATGTTAAATAACCAGAGGGTACTTGGATTGGAGAAAAATGAGTCAAAATCTTGGTTGCATATTGTGGCAGAAGAATGAGATGCCGAGACAAAAATGCGAAAAAAACAGCAAAAGAAACAGGTGTCGTGGCCTTTTTTTTTTGGTTTTTGAATCGCTGGAAATCGTTGGAACATGTTGGAACTTTCGCCTTTTGAGGTACACAAAAATCCCCATGTTTGTTGAGGTTCAATCGCTGAAAAATCCTCATTTTGGGCTAAGATTCATCCACCACAAAACCCATCAACTGGCTCCGTCCAAAAAGTGGAAACAACGGCCCGAAACCACGGCACAGCAACACTAGGCTTCCGAGCTAATTTGATCCGGTGCTGGCCGCTGTACAGGTCCTAGGGGGAAGGCATAGAGATAGTGTGAGGCAAGATGTTTGGACCAAAAAAAATCTTGAAGGTCAATCGCCCTTCATTATCACCTACCGTTACGTATACACACATAATTATCTGGTTGTTGGTTTCAACTATCTTGAAAAATATGACAGTCAGTTGGGATGATGAAAATCCCAATATATGGGAAAAAAAATGTTCTAAACCACCAACCAGTAATTATATACTTATATTTTATATATTATATATATGTACATATTCACGATCCCAATAGCCAAGGTAGTGTCAATGGGGTCAGTGCTGAGTCCTGCCCAAATTTCACCGGCAATTCTGGCATATCCCGCATGTTTCGCCGCATGTTTTGAGAAAATTGAGAAAATCATGGGAAAACACCATTTGGTTAACCATGGTTACCCTCTGTTAACCATGGTTACCCTCTGGTAATTGAACATAGCATAACATAGCTATTGAAAATGGCCATAGAAATAGTGGATTTTCCCATTAAAACCGGTGATTTTCCATGGTTATTTGTATGTTTACCAGAGGGTAACCCACATCTTTGGTGGTGAATTCCGTTAAGTAAATCATGTGGTTTCAACTCAATTCCTAGCTCCGGCTCCCGAAATTCAGACTGGGAATATGGATAGAACATGACACGGATATTTCTCCTCTGGTATTTTTTAACATAACTATGGAAAATCACCATTTTTTATGGGTAAATCCACTATTTCTATGGGTAAATCCATGCTATTTCTATGGGTAAATCCACTAAAAATCGACTGGGCGGGATCCCATGGATCCCATTTCTGGGGGTCTTCTAGGGATGGTGAAATCCCACACCCCATTTTCGCGTCGTTGCCTGCGCCGCAGCCTGCGCACATGCTCTCAAGCACACTGAGGGCCTGGCCATGGATTTGCTAACCCTTCGGGGCTTGGGTTCAGGGGGAGTACCCTCTGGTTATGACTAACGTAGCTATTGGAAATGGCCATAGAAATAGTTGATTTACCCATTAAAAACGGTGATTTTCCATAGCTATGTTAGTTTACCAGAGGGTAGTTGAGATTTTTTTTTTGAGAGATGGGATACACAAAATATATCAAAATGTCACAAGATCTTTGCGAAGTTGGCTAGTGACTGAGAACAGCAACTTCTTCCATAGCCAAATTCCCACCCCTTTCAGGCACAAAGTGTCTGGCGCACCCGTTGCCAGTGACCGGATTGTGCACAGACCTGAACGGGGGTTCAACCATCCCCCATTTCGGTGACGCCGCAACAATACTTGGATATGCATCCCTCCTAGAAACTGCTAAGCATATTATAAGTTGGGAGAGATATCCCAGTCATCTATGGCTTATGAACTACTAACTACAGATGACTGCGGTGGGTATACTGGTATAGTCATCCCTGGCTTATGACCATCGTATCCCAGTCATCCCTGCTAGAAACTGCTTATCCCAGTCATCTAGATGGATAAGAAGTTAGGTTTCGCTGTGGTTGTGGTTGGTGTCGAATCCCCCGATCTGCAGGTATACTGGTATACATAGTAAGTAACTGGTCGGTAGCCACGGTTTTGCCTTATCTTTTGTTCATAAACACGGATATCCTCTGGTAAACTAACATAACTATGGAAAAATCACCATTCTTAATGGGTAAATCCACTATAAATGGCCATTTTCAATAGCTTTTTGTTTGTTTACCAGAGGTTACCCTCCGGTGTGATCAAACATTGCAATGGAAAGATTCACCATTTGGTGGATGTTGTTTCCCAGCCATAGACCTTCATTTTTCTCGTGGATTTGCCAGCCACGTGTCACGCCGCCACCCAAAACTAGTTGGAACAAAGCTGTTTGCAATGTTGTCTTGCCTTGCGGTGGTCTCTCCATAGATACTCTCTGGATATTGGATTAACTGAAAAATGGGAAAACCGTTCCATTCCATGGTCATGAAAATGATTACACCATTAAAAATGCCGCAAAAATCGGGGTAAATGCCCATGTTCTGGGCAAAACCAAATGGATTTCGCATGATTTCCTATCACAAATGGCCACACTTTAACAAACAACAACCCCATAATTATAATATATATATATATATGTATATATCCCATTTATGTCGTATATTGGCCAATAAAGACATAAACACCTACCATTCACCAGGATTTCTTTAGGAATATCTAGGGCTCCGAACACTGATGACCGCATTGCACGTGCTCAGAGGCACCTCCATAATAAGGCGCTGGGAAGGATAGAAAAGAGTCAATCCTACGAAAATAAGGGGATCTTAATGGAATATTTATTCAATGGCCATTCCAGGATCATAAGGGAATATCCCCCAAAAAAAATGGCCTTATATGGTATAGTACCTCCAATTTAGGATCCTGGAATTCCCATTGATGGACATTAATGGGATATAATATGTATATATATATACCGGGATGAAGCGTCCAATTTCTAGTATTAACCTCTGGAAATTTAAGATAGATATTGAACACTAAATATTTATAGATGATTTACCTATTAAAAAGGGTGATGTTTCATAGCTATGTTTTTTTACCAGAGGGTTATTTGCCATCTTTTTGGGTGGTACTTGTACTTTCTCTTGAGCATCAAAAATCACTGTTAAAGCCAGAAAAAATGGGACACTAAGCATCCCTCAAGCAAAAAAACTGGTGGTAATGGTCCGCTACACCTGGATGACCTGCTGTCCCTGTGAAACGGTAGGTCACCGGATTATCGCTTTTGGTTGGGACAAAAATCAACTGGTTGGCGAAATCACAATTTTACATGCTTCCACTTCCATTTGCTTACATAATCATTATACTCCGTGAAAACCCCAACTTTGTGTTTCTTTACCATTTTGGGTGGTGAATTCATGGAAATCAACATGTTCTCCGGTCAAATCAGCAATTTTGGGGTTACTAACCGACCGAGACCGAGACGATCATAGCAGGCCTTCACTTGCCGCTGATCCAGGGTATCTAAGACGCACATGGCCCACTGCCATCGGCTGTCGCCCACGGAGGGCCTTCGACGAAGGAGATGGGCAGAGAAAATGGGGATGTCATGGAGGGGATGTAATGAGTTTTTTTTTTTACTGGGTATATACTGGGTATATACTGGGTATATACTGCGTATATCCTGGGTATATAGTGGGTATATGGGCTATAATGGGAGGTAACTGACCTGTTCAAGAAAAACATAAGAGAGTGAACAGTCAAACATGTGGATATATTATAATCCTACTGTAGGTACTGACTGCGGAAAATTCGATGTGTAGTCCCGAATCAACATCGCGACAGATTTAGGTGTTGAACTACCTAAAAACCAGCAAGTAGGGTGGCTATAGTCACTACAGCCCAATTCTATATGGAATCTACCCCACTTAGAATTAATGATAATTTATGGTGTATTTACTCATCTATTTTGATTGCATACCAACTTTCCCAGAAGAATCAATGCTTTTTAGGTTAAATTGCTGAATCCTCACATGTTCGTTATAATATAAAACCCACATTCATGGGTAAAAAGAACAATTCTTGCTGGTTAAATCTCATTTTGTTCCACGACTAGTTGATATATTTCCCTGAACAGCTTACTGTTGAGGTGTCCGCCAACGTGTCACTGGTGGCGTCCAGCTCTTTGAATGTCTTCCTCCATTTGTATCCGATCATTTGTCTCTCAGCTGTTCGGGGTCTATGGTAGTGTATTTTTTGTTGGTTAAGTACTATCTTTATTGGTTATTTTAAGAATTTAAGATTGGTTATCTAACACCAAAAATGATGGTTAAGTGCATAAAATCCAAATTTGAGTATTTTAAATCGTTACCCTCTGGTAAACTATCATAACTATGGAAAATCACCATTTTTAATGGGAAAACTGACTATAAATGACAATTTTCAATAGCTTTTTGTATGTTTACCAGAGGGTAAACCACCCATTCTTATTGGTTAAATCAGGTTAAATCCACTTGTCTGTTGATTCAATCCCAAAAAAAATCTCAGCCTGAGCCCCCGCGCGCACTCACCACCAGCCGCGTCAGTGCCGTCTCGTGTGGCAAATCGTGGCTGTTCGTGTGGAGAAGTTGATGCCTCTGTAGCACCAGGGTATTCCAGGGGAATATCCTGAGAAATTTGATGAAATTTGGGTGTCCATAAATGGTGGTCCCAAGTGGATGCTTTACACTTAGGGATACCCAAACTTTAGGATTTTGGGGACATGTTTTTGTACCATCGAACATGGGAACATACAACCAACATCAAGGGGAATGGGATATCGAACAACGGTAACCGTATAGGAATATCATGTGAGGATCATATGATGGCTGCATATTTTCCCAGTTTCATCATCTTCATGGGAAATTCATGGGATATGTGGGTATAAAATCAAAAAGGGGAAAATATGACAAACATTAGACCACAAGAATCAGATAGAATTGGGATATAATGGGATGTAATGGGATGGAATGGGCTGCAGGAATAGAATGGGATACTTGGATAAGCCAAACTAGCCAATGGGGATTAAAACTGGTGATTTTAACACATTTCAACTAGTAAACATAACTTACCAGGAAATAACTACCAACATCTAAAAGAATTTAGGGAGAATTTGCCGATCGATGGTTGTCATGTGGGGATAAGCCTGGTGTTTACCATTGAAATACAGGGGGGTCCCGCAGATGTTCCCTGAAACACAATGCCCAGAATCACGGTCGATATGTTGGGACATGAATTTCCCATGACTGAAACTGCGGCTGCTACCAGCCCATATGAAGTTGGAAAATGCATTGAACTTAAATTCAACAATGACTATTTAGGCAGGAACCATGTCATAAGCTAAGATGTTTCTGGTTGGTGGTTTCAACCCCTCTGAAAATATGAAAGTCAGTTGGGATCATTCTTCCCAATATATGGAGAGTCATAAAATTCATGTTCCAAACCACCAACCAGTTAATCATTCCAGATTATTATCAACCATTAACCGTTAACTTCCCATCAACTATTGTTAACCATCAATTAAATCATTAACCCCAAACCACCAACCATATATATAATATTATATATATATGGATGATTACCTATTAAAGATGGTGATTTTCCATAGCTATGTAAACGTTTACCAAAGGATCCGTGGATCATCGATTGGAATCCGTGGATGCATCCAAGCAACGCCAAATCGAAGCGTTGCACGCCCGCACAGGCCTGGGAAACCACCATGCCCCATGACCCGGTTGGAGAACCCAAACAAAAATGGGAAACATGTGGAAAAAAAACGGTTGTATCATGTTAGATCATATCTCTGTCTAGTTTTTTCCATTCGGAAATCCAATTTATTGAAAATCCAAAATCCCATGTCATTCGATGTTTACAGTATTTTATAGTCCATGTTTGTCTGAAAATGGGGTAGCCCTAAATCCCCCGGTTAATGATCATTGTCCTCTTCGAATGACAATTTTTTGGGATATAATTACCCCATTTTCAGACACACCCACATTTCTGGGCTGCGTAGTTGAAAACTGGGAAAACAATGGGGAAAAGCAGTGTTTGTTGGGATTAATACTTGTTTTCATTCTTTCTCTCTCTCTCTGTCTCTGCGATTCATCCAATCAATGGGAATTCCAAGATCCTAAATTGAAGGTACCTACCATATATAAGGCCTATGTAAGGCCTATGTAAGGGAATATCCCCACAAAATATGGCCTGAAAAATGGTACTAACGTACCTCCATTTTAGGATCCTGGAATTCCCATTGATCCAAACAATCCATCGTTCTCTGTGCCCCACTTAAGTGCGATAGGACCTCTCGCCATTTCGCCCTCATCGAAAACGTTGTAGAGGTCAGCCCCAGCTGATCACTTGCCAAGTTCAATGGAAGTAGGATGTTCTAGCCTCTTCCCTATGGATTTCTCCAGAAATGGAGGATACCCTCTGGTAATTTAACATAGCTATTGAAAATGGCCATGTATAGTGAGTTTTCCCATGAAAAATGGTGGATCTTTCCATAGTTACGTAAACGTTTACCAGAGGATACCAGCAAAATTGCCCTTTCAGTTTTTGTCCTTCTCATTGCCAATGAAGATGCGCTGCAGTTCGGCCCCTTCTGATGCCAGGCTTTGTGCGGACCCCTATCTCTGGGGTAGCTGATCACCCTATAGATGGATATAATCAGTGCATTAGTACCCTTAACATCCTTTGACTATATTTATTCATTGTGAATTGCATATCAATGCCAATGACATTCCTCATGATAAACACCCCTGCCCAAAACTTCGAGGGAATGTAGTAGAGCTATTCATGTTGGTGCAGGTTTCGGTTGTTTGAGCCACAATTTTGTGGTTTAATAATCTATGATAAGTTAAGGACCCACTACACAGATTATTTTCTATACCATTTGCCTATTGAAATTCACCCAAATCGAGATGATTTTCCTAATGCTTACAAATATTTTTTTTACATATCTTTTAAATTCTTTTAAACATCCTCCAAAAATAATCAAACATGGCAATTGGATCTCGACTATCGATGAAGGTTTGGTTCGCTGGGAAGGTCAACTATAATTGGATGTTTTCTCCGCCGCCTGTTTGGATGACTAAAGGGTACCCCTGACTCCCAACTGAAATGGTCAACTAAGAATTAGCGAACTGTAAAATCACCATCTTTTTTTAGGTAAATGAACTGTAAATGAATTGTAAATGGGCCATGTTCAATAGTTATATATGTGAAATTACCAGATGGTATTTTGGGATGGTTAGATAATACCAAAAAAAAAACTGCAATGTTGTGGATCCATTTGTACCCTATTATGCTCTATCACCATCCCGATAATTATTCTAGGAATCATCCCATATAATTCTCATTGATGATTCTGATAATCAACTAGTAATCATCTGAAATCATCTTACTCTACAATGGTAATAATGATGATGATAATAATAATAATAACAACAAACAACAATAATAATGATAATGATAACAATAAAAGATGGCTGGTACGGTCTAGTGGATAAGACGTATCCCTCATGCGTCAGACCTGGGTTCAATACCCGGGTGCAACACTAGGCAGACAGGCGGGCCAATACCCCACCCCTGCAGTTAAGGGGATGAGCTAGGGTGTGGTCCGTAAAAAAAATGATTAATATATAATAATAATAATAATAATAATAATATTGCTAATAACAATAATAATAATCATCGTCATCGTCATCGTCATCGCCGTCGTCGCCGCCGCCGCCGTCGTCGTCGTCCTCATTATTATCATCATCATCATCATCATCATCATCCCATAATCATCCCGATAATCCATCCGGATAATCATTCTAGCAATAATCCCATCATCATTCCAATTATCATCTTTGAGGCCATACCCATCATTACTCGTTCCCCCAGCTGACTCCGCCCCCAACCACCGCTGCGAGTGTTGCTGCGGTCGCGCTGGCCTGGAAGGCACGTGGACTATGTGGTAAACCCAATGCCACCATCAACATCACCCATTTCCTGGGTGGTATAAACCTTCCGAAGTTGGACGTTTATTCTTGGGTTTACCACATGAATTACCAACCAAAAACACGGAAACCGACCAACCACAAGGGGATAATAAGCAGCAAGATTCAAAAAAGAGTGGGGAAATCATGGTTTCAACAGCCCCTCAACCAGCAAAATCAACCCGATTTTAACCAACAAAAATGTAGCTGTTGAAGGGATCAAATATGTGTTTTTCATTGAAACAATATCGGGATGTAGCTGTTTCCATGTGTGGTGGGGATATCTACAGGGGATATGATGGGGATATCTACAGTAAGGGCACGCGACCATTGGTCATTTCAAGCTGATCATCCCAAATAGGGATGGAAAACTGAAAAAAAATTGAAGCCGCCAATCAGCAGCTGGAATGTGTCCTCCAATGTAACAATGTACAAAAAGCTATTGAAAATGGCCATAGAAATAGTGGATGTTCCCATTAAAAATGGTGATTTTCCATAGTTATGTTAGTTTACCAGAGGGTAACACTATGATTGATTCTAGAACTTCTTTCAGTCATCAATCTGTCACAGTGATCGACTTCCAAATAGTTTCATCATCATCGACATCCGCAGTGGCTCTAATTTTTGGATAGTGAAAAAAAAACTAACCAACTGGTAGTGGAATCCTATAATTTCTGAATTAAGTCAGATTAAAAGTGGAAAAATTAGGATGTAACCACAATACTTGCATCCCACACCGATGCAGAATTAATCTATGTACCCTCTAGACTCTAGACTCAACCTGGCAATGGGAATCCTTGTTTCTTCATAGGCAAACCATGTTGAACCATCTACCATTATCCATGTCGCTGGTTGAATCGCATTTTTTGAACCAAAATCCTTGTTGCGTTCCCATAGTGGACTTGTTGTCTAAAGAAACACATCTATGCTTGCGTGCTTTGAAAACTGACTGGTGACATCCAGAGTTGCGAAACGAGCAGCGAAACCGAGCCCCGATTTCCCAACAAGTTCTACGCTCCAAAGAGTGGGATGATCCTCCAAAAGATCCCGAAGGGAAATTCCACTGTTTCATCCCGTTGTTCGCTTGTAAATTCACCAACCAAAATTGGTTGCTGAAACCGCCAAATTTCTAAATTGTGTTCTTTGTTTCCCCATGATTCATCCGCGTCCCAGTGTCAGCGTCTCCATGCTACTTTGTTGCTTATCTACCCACCATGTTTGTTGGTTAAACCATAGTGCTACGTTATGGGGTAGCTCATGGTAACTCACATTCTATCAACGAACACACAGTAAGCTATAACTGGTTGGTGGTTTTAACCATCTTGAAAAATATGACAATCAGTTGGGATGATTAGTCCCAATATATGGAAAAATAAAAAATGATCCAAACCACCAACCAGATAATCATCTACATCGCATTTAGTTGTGTTTGCAATGTATACACGAGTGTCCCATTAGCTACTATCAGTAACATAGCTGAAATTATGTACATTCATTACCCTCTGGTAAACTAACGTAACTATGGAAAATCACAATTCTTAATGGGAAAATCCACTATAAATGGCAATTTTCAATAGCTTTTTGTATGTTTACCAGAGGGTATCTGGGTTTGTCTGAAAATACGCTATCAAATCGAACGGTTTATCATCTTACCTATCGAATGGCCGCAATGTTAACATTGGGGGCTCACCCCATCGTCAAACAAGCCCAATTATCATATCAAATAGGATAGACGAATCGCATTAATACTACCCGCTGGTAAACTAACATAGCTATGGCAAATCACCACTTTCAATGGGAAAACTCACTATAAATGGCCATTTTCAATAGCTATGTTAAATTACCAGAGGGTAAATAGTACAACTACATTCCCATTGTCTCCCTGTGGATTTTCTTTTCGCTAAATCCCTCTGATTCATCCCGTTGTGGTTGGCATTAAAATCATATTGGTTGGTGATTTCCTAAGGTTTGGTGGTTCAATATGTTTTACCGCCAATATATCCTCAGATCAAAATTCCCATATAAAATATCAATAATGAATATCCCATTAATGTCCAATAATGGTTGTTTATCCAACTTTTGACCACGGCACATCATGTTGTTGCATATAATCCATGTTCTACCATTTTCTGCTGGTTAAACCGTCATTGTATGTGTATATATATATATGATATGGTTAACTATGAACATGGTGGTATGACCAACCCCCAAGTTTTCATGATCAATCCGCAATCAGTATTAATCATCCAACTTTTGACAAAGTTGGTTGTGCTAGTCCCTCAAATACCACCATTAATATCCTGGTTGGTGGTTTCAACCCCTCTGAAAAAAGATGAAAGTCAGTTGGGATGATTATTCTCAATATATATGGAAAAATAAAAAATGTTCCAAACCACCAATCAGACAGTTCTAAATGTATTTTATCCAACTATTCACCATGGCACTCATGAGTTTGTCTGAAAATGTTGCAATCTAAATCCATTCCATCCACTGGTTCATCATGTTCCCATTGGGAAACCTAAATTTATCCAGACATATTAACACATATTAACCAACATTGAGCACTATTAACAAACATTAAAAAAAACATTAACCTCTGTAAATCATCATTTCCACACATTAAAATCAGATTAACCATTATTAACCCACATTAACCCATATTAACCCGCATTAACCCCCTATAAATCATCCATTGTCCCTATGGAAAAAATGCTAATTGGCACGTCCCATGGCGTCCTCGCACGCCTCGCAACGCCGTCCCATGGCGTCCAACAACGCCAAGGCCGCAGGCCACTGCGTGGCATCAGCAGCCGCAGCCACCAGGACCTGGTTGGAGAATGGTGACTTCAGCCCATCAGAAAAGACGCCAGAAACGATGCCAGAAATGGTGGAAACCAATGGGTGATTTGATTAATGATGCCAGAAATGGTGGATAATGGGATAATCAACATGAATTAAAAAAATGTTTTTTATAGGATAATTGAAATTGGGTGCAGAATTGTTTTTGGTATTTTTTTTTTACAGTTTTGGAATTTTTTTTGGGGTTCGTGCCTCTTCAATTTTTCCATGGTTTTCTTCAATTTTTCCATGGTTTTCTTCAATGTTTCCATAGTTTTCTTCAATTGTTCCATGGTTTTCTTCAATTTTCCATGGTTTTCTTCAATTTTCCATTGTTTTCTGCAAGTTTTCCATGGTGTTCTTCAATTTTTCCATTGGTTTCTTCAATTTTTCCCGGGTTTTCTTCAATTTTTCCATGGTTTTCCAATGGTTTTCTGCAAGTTTTCCATGGTTTTCTTCAATTTTTCCATAGTGTTCTTCAATTGTTCCATGGTTTTCTTCAATTTTCCATCGTTTTCTGCAAGGTTTCTTTGGTTTTCTTCAATCAATCAATCTATATATATATATATGTATGTGTGTATGTATGTATGTATGTATGTATGTATGTATGTACGTAGGTAGGTAGGTAGGTAGGTATGTATGCATGCATGCATGTATGTATATGCAGGGTGTGGTTTAGGGTTTAGGGATACAACATGTAATTAGGTATAATTACATGATTATTTGTTGTATATGTTGGGATCAAAGTTGTGTATAAAAACAACCACAAATATGTCATATATATATATATGTATACGTCTGTATATCTATATGTAAATATGTATGTGTATTTATAATATATATATATATATATTTATAGTTATATATTTATGTAAATATATATATATACATTGATATGTATATACATATTAATATGTATGTATGTATATATATATATATACATTTATATAAGTACATTAATATATATAAATATAAGTGTATATATAAATGCAAATATATACATATACATATACATATATATATATGTATACGTGTGTCTATATATATATATATGTCTAGATATATATATATATATAATTTTTCACAAAATATTAATATAGTCGAATCAAACAAGTGTATTGAAAAGTGTGCAAGTTTGAATTTAAATAATTAAAAAAAGCGGGAGGGGGTGGGATTGGGGGGGAGGGCGCAGCGCCTCCCCCCCAAAGCAGATTGGAAACACCTATTTTACATGCAAGGTGCTGGGTTGAATGTGATACTCAAGGTGTATAGACTACACGACATGCACCCTGGAAACATGTGGAATACAGTACATATACTTATAGATACATACTTCTTTATATATATATATACACATTTATATGATTTATATGTATATACATATGAATGTATATATATATATAGGTACATAAATATATATTTATATGTAAATATAAATATATATATTTAAAAAATATATATATAAATATAAATATAAATATATAAAATATCAATATGAATATGTAAATATAAATATATCAATATAATATATATTTAAGTGTACATATACATGCATAAATATAAATATATAAATATATTTACATATATATGTATATATATATATATGTAATATATATATGTAAATATATATGTAAATATATATATATATATATAAATATAAATATATATATATGTATATATATATGTAAATATATATATATGTAAATATATATATGTGTATATATATATATTTGAATTTGAACATAAATAGTAATAATATGTATATATAAATATATATATATAAGTAGAAAATATAAATAATATAAATATATCTAGATATAAATATACAAGTGTGTATATAAATGCATATATATATATACATATGTATATATACATATACATATATACATATATATGTAAATATATATATATTATGATTTTAATTGAAACATAAATATATATATATATGAATATAGTCGATTCAAACTAGTGTATTGAAAAATGTGCAAGTTTGACATACTAAAAATACCACCAAAAGCCATGGAAAGCAAGCCAAAAGCCAAAAGCAAACAAGCAAAAAGCAAAAAAGCAAAAAAGGCAAAAATAACAAAAAGCAAAAAACAAAAAGCAAACAAGCAAAAAAGCAAAAAAGCAAAAACGCAAAAAATCAAAAAAAGCAAAAAGCAAAAAAGCACAAAAGCAAACAAGCAAAAAAGCAAACAAGCAAAAAAGCAAAAAAAGCAAAAAAAAGCAAAAAAAAGGCAAAAACGCAAAAAAGCAAAAAAAGCAAACAAACAAAAAAAAACAAACAAAAAAGCACAAAAGCAAAAAAGCAAAAAAAAAGGAGAAAGCAAGATAAAACAAGAAACCCAAAAAAAAATCCAAAAACGTAAAAGAAAAAAAAAACAAAAAAAAATAGGCCTCCATTGAAATTGATAGTAACATGGGTGATTTGATTAATGATGCCAGAAATGGTGGATAATGGGATAATCAACATGAATTAAAAAAATGGTTTCTATAGGATAATTGAAATTGATAGTAACATGGGTGATTTGATTAATGATGCCAGAAATGGTTGATAATGGGATAATCAACATGAATTAAAAAAATGGTTTTTATAGGATAATTGAAATTGATAGTAACATGGGTGATTTGATTAATGATGCCAGAAATGGTGGATAATGGGATAAACAACATGAATTTTAAAAAAATGGTTTTTATAGGATAATTGAAATTGATAGTAACATGGGTGATTTGATTAATGATGCCAGAAATGGTTGATAATGGGATAATCAACATGAATTAAAAAAATGGTTTTTATAGGATAATTGAAATTGATAGTAACATGGGTGATTTGATTAATGATGCCAGAAATGGTGGATAATGGGATAATCAACATGAATTAAAAAAATGGTTTTTATAGGATAATTGAAATTGATAGTAACATGGGTGATTTGATTAATGATGCCAGAAATGGTTGATAATGGGATAATCAACATGAATTTAAAAAAAAAATGGTTTTTATAGGATAATTGAAATTGATAGTAACATGGGTGATTTGATTAATGATGCCAGAAATGGTTGATAATGGGATAATCAACATGAATTTAAAAAAATGGTTTTTATAGGATAATTGAAATTGATAGTAACATGGGTGATTTGATTAATGATGCCAGAAATGGTTGATAATGGGATAATCAACATGAATTAAAAAAATTGTTTTTATAGGATAATTGAAATTGATAGTAACATGGGTGATTTGATTAATGATGCCAGAAATGGTGGATAATGGGATAAACAACATGAATTTAAAAAAAAATGGTTTTTATAGGATAATTGAAAGTGATAGTAACATGGGTGATTTGATTAATGATGCCAGAAATGGTTGATAATGGGATAATCAACATGAATTAAAAAAATGGTTTTTATAGGATAATTGAAATTGATAGTAACATGGGTGATTTGATTAATGATGCCAGAAATGGTAGATAATGGGATAAACAACATGAATTTAAAAAAAATGGTTTTTATAGGATAATTGAAATTGATAGTAACATGGGTGATTTGATTAATGATGCCAGAAATGGTTGATAATGGGATAATCAACATGAATTTAAAAAATGGTTTTTATAGGATAATTGAAATTGATAGTAACATGGGTGATTTGATTAATGATGCCAGAAATGGCAGATAATGGGATAATCAACATGAATTAAAAAATGGTTTTTATAGGATAATTGAAATTGATAGTAACATGGGTGATTTGATTAATGATGCCAGAAATGGTGGATAATGGGATAATCAACATGAATTAAAACAATGGTTTTTATAGGATAATTGAAATTGATAGTAACATGGGTGATTTGATTAATGATGCCAGAAATGGTTGATAGCGGGATAATCAACATGAAACATAATTCTTAGATTTCGTTTGGAAACAGTCAAAAATTGGAATATATTGAGACTGAAATGGGAAAATCATGGGATAATCATGTATGCCCTCTGGTCAACGTTTACAGTTTGCGAACTGTAAAATCACCATTTTGTAGCTGGGTAAATCAACTATTTCTATGGCCATTTGCAATAGTTATGCTTGTTTACCAGAGGGTAGATTTCAAGTGGTGGCTGGAATACTTCAATTGGGATTGTTTATTCGTTTACCTATGTTTGCCTTTAAGTGAAAAATTGGATGTTCAGCAAGAATTTGGGGAGTTGGAGAGTTAAACCCAACAGAAAGTATGATTTCAACAGCCAACAAAAGGTGATGTTAGCTTCAAAAAGAAGTGATTTCAGATGATTTAAGTATCAATCTGTGTGAGGAAGTAGAAAAAATCGGATTTGACAATTGAACATGTGAATCTAACATGATTTCAACAACAGGAACGCAGATTTCAGCAGCACATTTTTTTGGGGGTTGATTCTAAGACCCAAGAGCAGGGAATCATGTGCCATCTCCACAGGAAATTCACCGGCCAGAAAGTGGGGGCTTTCTGAAAAATTTCACGAGCTGAAAAGGATGAATTTGCCTGCCAAGGCTTACCATCAATGGATTGGTTTAAGGGAAAATTTACAGGAAATCCCCATTTTGATGGGAAAAACTATGGTTTCCTGGAGATGTTCCCTTAAACCAATCCATTGATACCAGCAGACCTAGGGCTTTGACATCACCATTTTGCCTGTCAAAGCCGCAAATTAGGGGCCAATTTGCCATTTTTGGGCAAACTCACCTTACAAACGACTGTGATTTGTTCCTAAACAGAGTCAAACAAAGTATAGAGTCGACCAGCACAGCTCACACCCCCAAAACTCCATACTCCTTGAGCAAGAAATTGAACAGAATAGGCAGTCACCAGGGACTTTGGGTTGGTCCTCCATTCCATTTCATGAGAAAATAACTGGTTGGTGGTTGACCTACCCCTCTGAAAAATATGAGTTCGTCAGTTGGGATGGTTATTCCCAAGATATGGAAAAATAACAAATGTTCCAAACCAGCTAGCTTTCCCATACTTTCCCCATCATTGCATGACCACAAATGTTGGGAGGAAGTCCCCCCATTTCGGCACCAACCATTTAATCAAATTGCGTTCAATGCTTCCCTGAAATAAAAAGATCAATATGATCCAATACTGAACCAGGCTTTCTCCAGGGGTATGTAATTTGGTTGGTTCTACTTTCTGCAATGCGGGCCTCCTCCAGCTATAAGTTGGTTTATAAATCCCATTAACTATAGTGATCAATGATAAGTATCATAAACCATAGTTATTGGAGCCATTTGTCCCAACTGAGCTATCGTTCGGCGGCCCCACTTTGTAGAGGAATCATACGGATACGGATTATAAGGTTGGATGGATGTGATCATTGTATAGAAAACCCAATGATCCATATAATGGATATGGATATTGATTAAATATGTATGGATAAGGTTGTATGGATAATCATTGTAGATGGATCATTGTTGGATGGATATTGATTGGATATCACTTATCAATCATGGATATCCATTGATTTTAACTAGTTTAACTATAGTGATCAGTGATAAGAAGTATCATTTATTGGATCAGAAAATCCGAACTCTGTAATTGGACGGGGTGGCTTATGATATTCCCTCAGTGACTCAGATCAGCGATATTCCCTCAGTGATTAATCAGATATTTATTGCATATCCAAATTGGATATCCAATTATAAATCAACATCCATGGATATCCAATGATCAGTATACTATATAACTTATTGGATCAGAAAATCCATGGATATCCAAAATCTTATGATCCAATCTGCATAAGTTCTGCGATGGCCGCCTGACCTGAGACGCATTGGCAGCTACGCAAATCCACCAGGATCAACTGGCGACTCAGGGCCAACAGTCGTCCTCATCTGATCCCAACAGAGTATCTCAATGGATTGGTTTTGTTGGGAAAATTTGTACAGGAAACCATGGTTTTTACCATTAAATATGGGGTTTCCGGTTTCAATTTTCCCCTAAACCAATCCATTCAGTATCTGGCTGGTGGGGTAAAGGGATGATGTGCAAGTTGCGTGAGCTTGGCGCGTGAGAAATCTCTGCAATGGAGCAAGCCAGATCTGTAGCGAAGAAGTGATTGTAGTTCACTGCCTCCACTGCTGCGGCAGATTGCCCTTGCATAGCGTGAATCCCGGTGAGCTGGTTGGCACCATACGATTGAGCGGTTGCTTTCGCAGGCACTGGAACTGGTGCTCCTTTTGGCTTGGCTTTCGGCGGGAGCTTAGGCTCCAAGGCCTTTGGCGCCGGGGCGCCGGGGCGCTTTGGAATTGGCTCTACAACTCATCTTGTCTTGTGCCAAATCTTACTAACACCACAAAGCTCAAACCTCTAAACCGCATGAAAGACAACATCTCTGGTCATCAAAAGTCTTGGGCACTTTCCAAAAGATCACATGAGGGATTGCCCTGTTACAATTTGGACCAGAATGATTATATATATATATATGGAAATATATGTATGTATATATATATATACATAATGTATGTGTGATTATACATATATATATATACACATGGATACACTCCCGTCAGGATATCTAATCCCATAAAATATCAAAAAACTGTGGCACCTCCCAAGCGGTTTGGTCCCAGTGGGAGGACTTGGCCAGGAGGGCGATGGACATTTCCCACCTGGGTGATGTCGTTGACAGGATGGGGTGCCCTTGGAATAGAATGGTTGCTGCTGGTTAATAATGGTGGATAATCATGAGTAATGACTCACAATCAGTCGTTGATCATCGTGAGTAATGACGAAAATATTTTTTGTCATAATGATTATATAATAGTGACAATGATTGGACAACAATGGCTGATAGTGTTTAATAATGGTTTAAAATGGTGAAAATTAACGGCTTGTAATGGTCAAGAATGGGATGTAGTGGGATATAATGGAACATAATGGAGCAGAGTAGGGATATAATGGGATATGAGTGATATGTGTACATAGTCCCTTAATGGTCACATCATGTCATTGACATGGCTGTTGGTATGGATCAAACTTAAGACCAGGGGAACTTCTTGTAGTAAAACATCACATCTTTAGGAACCCAATTTTGACCCGTAGTGGCAGCGAACCTGAACATCACCTAACCACAGAACTGAACAACAAAAAATGGAGATTCCACCACCCGGTGGGTTCTTCTTTGGAAAGAGGATACAAAGATGAAGAAACAATGAAACCATGTTGGGGTCTTGAAGTCCGCATATTCATTGATTAAATTCTCTCCGATCTTGAACCTACAGTTTGATGTTCATGCTCTTGGACCTCCACTCCAGTCTGTGATATGCCAGTATATATTAGTATATATATATATGTGTGTACGTGTGTATATAATATATATATGTACGTGTATATATATTATATATTATTTATATTATATAATATTATATATATATATTCCATGTTTGGTTGAAAACCATCAATAATCTTACGCTATTAAACATCCCCAATACGGGACCCCAAAGTGAAGAAATCCAATTCTAAGCCTGGTTTTTTAGGAGGCTATTAAATGTTGAGGCGAATAATGGTGGTAAAACAATAATAAACCATCCCCAAAATCACAATTTTTATAGGTAGTATAAACTTACCATTCCCAGTCATGGCTGGTTTATGGCCTTGTTTTACCCACATTACATACATAATATATGAATAATGAGTTTCCCCAGTTTAAACCACCATTAGATAATAATATACATGATATAACTCAAAGCCATGTCACCACCCGGTCCTCCAACGGTCCCTCTAAACGCCACGACACGCAGTGCTCCTTCCCATGTGTGCCGCAGCGGCGGACAGAGCTTTGAGTCCTACACAGTGGTGCCACCGTGCCACCGCAGGGATGGCGGTAACCATACCCCCAATTGGTTGGTGGGGAACCCAGAGTAAGTGTCATTCAAATTGGGGGTATGGTGAACCAAAACTCTGTTAATTGATGTTAATTGGTTGGTGTCATTTATTCATAACCAAAAAGATAGAGAAGCTGTTAATTTCACTATTCGTTTTGGACGGCAAAAACGGTCCTTATCTTATTGGGGTGTCCTATGACCGTAAGATACCCTCCAAAATCGCTTGTCTATGTCCATGTGTACTCAAAATTGACCCATGTTCACATACCATTTGCCAGGATTTACCCAAGGGACCTTCACCGGCAAAACTGACAATCATGGTCGCCAAAATTAACCATCAAAGCATCGAAAAAATAGTTGATTGCAATAGAAAAATGATATCGCAGAGCATAAACGTGCTAAATGTTGAATCTAATTAATCCTACTAACGAAAAATTGATTTCATCAGAAAAACATGAGATTCTGGGCACCACAATGACGTCAGAAACTTGCCACACAAAAGGGAGATGTAATCAACAACTTGGGAACGTAACCCCTAAAACCTAACGTCATGGCCAATCTCATACACCCAGCAAAAGTCTTTTTTGAGTTGGTTAGCAAACATCACCATTTACCCTCTGGTAAACTGACAGTTTGCGAACTGGAAGATCACAGTCGTTAGTAGGTAAATCAACTATTTCTATGGGCCATGCTCAATAGCTATGCTAAATTACCAGGTCGGGTATGTCAAAAGAACATTGCCCAACATGGGTGGAAACATCATGGAACATCCCACTCTTGGACTCTCTGTGAGTCAAAGCCCGGCAAGCTCACCATGTTTCATCTAACCTGGCTGACTGTGGAAATCACCATGTTGCGAGGAAAATCATCAATAATGTCAACCCTGGATTCATAAACATAAGATCATTTCAGTATCAAATCATGACTATTGGGGGGAATACCTCCCCTTTTTTGTCATAAACCATGGTTGTGATGTGCATCCCAGGCATCCCAAGTGGTTGGTTTATGACCTGTTTATATAGCTCAGAAAAATAATCCATTGATCTAGCCTATATATTAAAACCCACATAAAGCCCATATAACCCATATTATACTGGTGGTTTCAACCCCCTGAAAAATATGAAAGTCAGTTGGGATGATTATTCCCAATATATGGAAAAATAAAACTCATGTCTCAAACCACCAAGCAGCTATAAATGGATGAGAACTAGGGGTACAGCGATGGATTGGAAACCTCCATATACGAAATCCGTGGAAATCACCAACCAGTTATATAACCCATTGATCTAAAGTGGCCTTTCCAATGATCCGATGCTTGGCACAGCCCCCACCTGAGGAAACCGGCCGTTGCAAGGCCAGGCTCGGCGCGCCGCCGCGACAAAGGGCGAGGAGGAGACTGTCTTCTGCACTGGCCTTGGTGAACAGTATGGATATGTGGAAACCAATGGGTTATTCGTGATCAATGTAACGAAGCCAACAGGATACCGTGCAGCTGTATACGATTCGATACTATACCAGCTAGCATTTGTGTATTTGGTTGTCATTTACAAACTCGGTTTTACCAATGGGTTCAACATATTCGATTGTTCTCCAATCAACGAACGTCAGTCCTGGTGTGTATCCCCAGCGCTGGATCTAAATCCACACATTTATGGTATCTGCAAGACTGTGATCCCAAACTTGTCCGATGAGAAATACGGAATTGGAACGTGCATTTGGGGGGATCAAATATCAACTTTACCCGCAATGACCAAACAAAATGTCCAGCCAAATGAGATCAAATAAGCATTGCTGGCCTACCTATAGTAAAACCGCAGCCGCAACTGTTCAACATTGTGTCGACGAAATGGCATAGGCTTATGATGGCCTATGCAGCAAAACGGCTCCAAGTGGTCAAAGCCGTAGTGACTAAACATGGTCAATGCCGTTTGACCAACAGAATGGGTTCTTGACTTTTCAGGTGTGGATATGTTTCATGCTTAGAGAAACGCATCCCTCATTGAACCAAGCACTTTTGTCAGCAACCTTAAAAGGAACAAGACATTCGGGTTATGGCCAATTACTGTTTGCTCCGTAAATCAACCTAAACAATACCCAAACAAAGGACAACACATAAACCATCCACAATTTGAAGGTGTACCATCCCTAAAAGCAATCCCTCAAAGTAGCGACAAGGTTCATTTGGTTTAGTTCTTGTCAAAGTACATGGCTATGTACTCTTCGGTAATTTAACATCTGGAATCGCCCATTTAGTTCGATGATTTACCTATTCAACTGATGATTTGCTCACTATAGATGCTCTTCCCATTGAAATGGCCATTGAATTCAAGCAATTCCTAGCCATGTTTGATGACCCCGCGTTGCACGGGAATGTGAGGTGAGAGATGAACATTGATGAACATTTGGTTGACTTAAGGGATGTACAGTAGGAAACCATGATTGTTCTAACTACCAAACTTTGAACAAGGGATTTTGCTAACGTTTCCTTAAAACAATGGCGATAAATATACCAACAAAGATACCCTGTGGGGATACCGGCTGGTGCATGGTGCAATCATCTCGTTGCATTTTTTATTTCGTTACTCGAAAAGGTGGTTTTAACCCGTCCTTTATGTTTTTGTTTCCCCACCGGCCAGGTGAGGTTTGTTGGGTTTTATCAGAGCGCTCTTCCTCCGCCTCCGTCTCCTCCTCCTCTTCCTCCTCGTCCTCCTCGTCCTCCTCCTCCTCCTCGACTAGCTGTCCTCTTCCTCCTCGTCCTCCTCCTCGCCTCCTCCTCCAGTTTCTCCTCGACCATGTCTGCATCAACTTCCACCTGCACTTCCGCCTTGCCAACTCTTCGCCAAGCTCACCTCAACCTGGGAGCTGCCCAGCTCAGTGTGCACCGCTGGACCTCGACCCAGGACCTGCCCAGCTCAGCGTGCACCGCTGGACCTCAACGGCCAGATAGAATGCCAGAAGATATGCCAGATAGAATGTCAGATAGAATGCAAGAAGATATGCCAGAAGATATGCCAGATAGAATGTCAGATAGAATGCCAGAAGATATGCCAGATAGAATGCCAGAAGGAATGCCAGATAGAATGCCAGATAGAATGCCAGAAGATTTGCCAGATAAAATGCCAGATAGAATGCCAGAAGGTATGCCAGAAGATTTGCCAGATAGAATGCCAGAAGATATGCCAGAACATATGCCAGAAGATATGCCAGATAGAATGCCAGATAGAATGCCAGAAGATATGTCAGATAGAATGCCAGAAGATTTGCCAGTAACAAATGGATAAATGTCATGGTGGGGATCACACGAAGTAAAGTAATTTATGTTTTTTTAGTCACTATTATATATATATATACTGTAGTCATTTCAACCAATCATCCCTTAAGAAAAAATTGAAACCACCCACCAAATAGACTGGCCGTTTCCCAAATGAAACATCAGCACAACCCTTGAGCCCAGGCCTGGCATAGTCCGTTCTCGGGGGTGGCCGATACCATAGAGTAAACCCCGGTCAATTAAATAGGGAACATGATGATAACCTATGATAAACCCATGGAATATCCCATGGAACACTTCCTGTGCAAGCTGCACAGTTGCACTTCCTGTGCAAAGCTGACACAAAAATGATCAAACATGCCTACTGTATATGGCTAACCAAGAAGAGATAGAAAAGTGTTTCCATTATGTGATAGAATGATATAGATTATATTTAATTATACAGTACCTAGTATTGGAGTTTCCAAATGTTTCCAACTTGTCTATCTATGACTTGGGGTTGCTGTACATATTCACGCAAGTGAAAATTGTAGCACTGTCGCGTTCCCTCTCGCGAACGCCTCGGCAGCCCACACTTCTGTGTGAAAATGAGCAGTGTCCAACAGCATCATACCCTTCTGGATGACTAACTGGAAGTCTCACATTGATAGTAAAATTTCGGATCAGAAAAGTCCGCTCATCAAGGTAAAACGCCTATCAAATCTTATAAAATATCAGAAATTCTATACAGTAAGATGCTAGGCCAGGCTTTGGTCACTGCTACATTGACTGCACTTAAATGGCTCAAAGATCGCCTCCGATTTCAGGGAACTGGCAGGTCTTTCCTGGCGCTGACGTAGCTGCTGATGTTGGATATGTTGGTCGCCATGGTGTGCACCTCACTGCCGTTCACCTCCTTGCGCCCGTTGCCCCCGTTGCCGCGCAGCGATGTGTTGGCAGCACGGGGAGTCCCGTTGGCAGCACGCGCCTCACCGGGACTACCGTGCGGACTGGCATCAACGAGGGAGAGGAGCGCCAGAAGCAGAAGTGCGCGAAGTGCCATGGTGCTGTGTTGACGGACTGCTGAGGAGCCAAACTGAGCCAAAAATTATGCTTTAGTTGGGCGATCAGTGTAACGAAGCCAACTGTATACCGTGCAGCTGTATACTATTCGATACTATACCAGCTAGCATTTGTGTATTTGGTCATTTACAAACTCGGTTTTACCAATGGGTTCAACATATTCGATTGTTCTCCAATCAACGAACGTCAGTCCTGGTGTGTATCCCCAGCGCTGGATCTAAATCCACACATTTATGGTATCTGCAAGACTGTGATCCCAAACTTGTCCGATGAGAAATACGGAATTGGAACGTGCATTTGGGGGGATCAAATATCAACTTTACCCGCAATGACCAAATAAAATGTCCAGCCAAATGAGATCAAATAAGCATTGCTGGCCTACCTATAGTAAAACCGCAGCCGCAACTGTTCAACATTGTGTCGACGAAATGGCATAGGCCTATGCAGCAAAATGACTCCAAGTGGTCAAAGCCGTAGTGACTAAAAATGGTCAATGCCGTTTGACCAAACAGAATGGGTTCTTGACTTTTCAGGTGTGGATATGCTTCATGCGGCTTAGAGAAACGCATCCCTCATTGAACCAAGCACTTTTGTCAGCAACCTTAAAAGGAACAAGACATTCGGGTTATGGTCAATTACTGTTTGCTTCGTAAATCAACCTAAACAATACCCAAACAAAGGACAACACATAAACCATCCACAATTTGAAGGTGTACCATCCCTAAAAGCAATCCCTCAAAGTAGCGACAAGGTTCATTTGGTTTAGTTCTTGTCAAAGTACATGGCTATGTACTCTTCGGTAATTTAACATCTGGAATCGCCCATTTAGTTCGATGATTTACCTATTCAACTGATGATTTGCTCACTATAGATGCTCTTCCCATTGAAATGGCCATTGAATTCAAGCATTTCCTAGCCATGTTTGATGATCCCGTGTTGCACGGGAATGTGAGGTGAGAGATGAACATTGATGAACATTTGGTTGACTTAAGGGATGTACAGTAGGAAACCATGATTGTTCTTTCTAAATACCAAACTTTTTTCACAAGGGATTTTGCTAACGTTTCCTTAAGACAATGGCGATAAATATACCAACAAAGATACCCCAATTAGTGGGGATACCGGCTGGTGCATTGGAAGTGCGTCATCATCTCGTTGCTTTTTTTTATTTGTTCGTTCAGAAAACTCGAACAGGTGGTTTTAACCCGTCCTTTTGGTTTTTTAGTCACTATATGTCACTATTATATAGTCATTTCAACCAATCATCCCAAGAAAAAATAAATTGAAACCACCCACCAAATAGATTGGCCGTTTCCCAAATGAAACATCAGCACAACCCTTGAGCGGCCTGGCATAGTCCCATAGTCCGTTCTCGGGGGCCGATCCCATAGAGTAAACCATGTAAACCCTGGCCTTTTTTCAATAGGGAACATGATGATAACCTATGATAAACCCATGGAAAATCATAGAAGTTGTCCAACTTTCAGACCCAAGTGCGCCGAGTGATTGAGCAGCCTTATCATAATTATCGGCTGGCTCATCATTGGAACAAGCTGTTTGTCTCTGCGTTTTTTCGATCTCCGCAGGTAAATTGTATCACCAGCATAGTCCGAGTAGTCTCTACAGTTGCACTTCCTGTGCAAGCTGTACAGTTGCACTTCCTGTGCAAAGCCGACACAAAAATGATCAAACATGCCTACTGTATATGGCTAACCAAGAAGAGATAGAAAAGTGTTTCCATTATGTGATAGAATGATATAGATTATATTTAATTATACAGTACCTAGTATTGGAGTTTCCAAATGTTTCCAACTTGTCTATCTATGACTTGGGGTTGCTGTACATATTCACGCAAGTGACAATTGTAGCACTGTCGCGTTCCCTCTCGCGAACGCCTCGGCAGCCCACACTTCTGTGTGAAAATGAGCAGTGTCCAACAGCATCATGCCCTTCTGGATGACTAACTGGAAGTCTCACATTGATAGTAAAATTTCGGATCAGAAAAGTCCGCTCATCAAGGTAAAACGCCTATCAAATCTTATAAAATATCAGAAATTCTATACAGTAAGATGCTAGGCCAGGCTTTGGTCACTGCTACATTGACTGCACTTAAATGGCTCAAAGATCGCCTCCGATTTCAGGGAACTGGCAGGTCTTTCCTGGCGCTGACGTAGCTGCTGATGTTGGATATGTTCGGGATGTATGGAGGCTTCAGGATGTCTGGATGATGAATCGGTGGCCTCGGGATGTATGGAGGCTTCGGGATGTCTGGATGATGAATCGGTGGAAAAAATTCCGTATCGCAGCAAAATTGGTCACAATCACAATCTGACATACAGCACTCAAAGAACGGATCTTTCCTGGTGACGTTGCTGCTGGATATGTTGGTCGTCATGGTGTGCACCTCACTGCCGTTCACCTCCTTGCGCCGGTTGCCCCCGTTGCCACGCAGCGATGTGTGGGCAGCACGGGGAGTCCCGTTGGCAGCACGCGGAGGCGGAGTACCGTTGGCATCAGGGAGGGAGAGGAGCGCCAGAAGCAGAAGTGCGCGAAGTGCCATGGTGCTGTGTTGACGGACTGCTGAGCCAAACTGAGCCAAAAATTATGCTTTAGTTGGGCGATCAGTGTAACGAAACCAACTGTATACCGTGCAGCTGTATATTCGATACTATACCAGCTAGCATTTGTGTATTTGGTCATTTACAAACTCGGTTTTACCAATGGGTTCAACATATTCGATTGTTCTCCAATCAACGAACGTCAGTCCTGGTGTGTATCCCCAGCGCTGGATCTAAATCCACACATTTATGGTATCTGCAAGACCGTGATCCCAAACTTGTCCGATGAGAAATACGGAATTGGAACGTGCATTTGGGGGGATCAAATATCAACTTTACCCATCTTTACCCGTAATGACCAAACAAAATGTCCAGCCAAATGAGATCAAATAAGCATTGCTGGCCTACCTATACTAAAACCGCAGCCGCAACTGTTCAACATTGTGTCGACGAAATGGCATAGGCTTATGATGGCCTATGCAGCAAAACGGCTCCAAGTGGTCAAAGCCGTAGTGACTAAAAATGGTCAATGCCGTTTGACCAAACAGAATGGGTTCTTGACTTTTCAGGTGTGGATATGCTTCATGCGGCTTAGAGAAACGCAACCCTCATTGAACCAAGCACTTTTGTCAGCAACCTTAAAAGGAACAAGACATTCGGGTTATGGTCAATTACTGTTTGCTTCGTAAATCAACCTAAACAATACCCAAACAAAGGACAACACATAAACCATCCACAATTTGAAGGTGTACCATCCCTAAAAGCAATCCCTCAAAGTAGCGACAAGGTTCATTTAGTTTAGTTCTTGTCAAAGTACATGGCTATGTACTCTTCGGTAATTTAACATCTGGAATCGCCCATTTAGTTCGATGATTTACCTATTCAACTGATGATTTGCTCACTATAGATGCTCTTCCCATTGAAATGGCCATTGAATTCAAGCATTTCCTAGCCATGTTTGATGACCCCGCGTTGCACGGGAATGTGAGGTGAGAGATGAACATTGTTGAACATTTGGTTGACTTAAGGGATGTACAGTAGGAAACCATGATTGTTCTTTCTAAATACCAAACTTTTTTCACAAGGGATTTTGCTAACGTTTCCTTAAGACAATGGCGATAAATATACCAACAAAGATACCCCAATTAGTGGGGATACCGGCTGGTGCATTGGAAGTGCGTCATCATCTCGTTGCTTTTTTTTTATTTGTTCGTTCAGAAACTCGAACAGGTGGTTTTAACCCGTCCTTTTTGTTTTTTTAGTCACTATATGTCACTATTATATAGTCATTTCAACCAATCATCCCAAGAAAAAATAAATTGAAACCACCCACCAAATAGATTGGCCGTTTCCCAAATGAAACATCAGCACAACCCTTGAGCGGCCTGGCATAGTCCCATAGTCCGTTCTCGGGGGCCGATACCATAGAGTAAACCATGTAAACCCCGGCCTTTTTTCAATAGGGAACATGATGATAACCTATGATAAACCCATGGAAAATCATAGAAGTTGTCCAACTTTCAGACCCAAGTGCGCCGAGTGATTGAGCAGCCTTATCATAATTATCGGCTGGCTCATCATTGGAACAAGCTGTTTGTCTCTGCGTTTTTTCGATCTCCGCTGGTAAATTGTATCACCAGCATAGTCCGAGTAGTCTCTACAGTTGCTTGGGGTTGCTGTACATATTCACGCAAGTGACAATTGTAGCAATGTCGCGTTCCCTCTCGCGAACGCCTCGGCAGCCCACACTTCTGTGTGAAAATGAGCAGTGTCCAACAGCATCATACCCTTCTGGATGACTAACTGGAAGTCTCACATTGATAGTAAAATTTCGGATCAGAAAAGTCCGCTCATCAAGGTAAACCGCCTATCAAATCTTATAAAATCTCAGAAATTCTATACAGTAACATGCTAGGCCAGGCTTTGGTCACTGCTACATTGACTGCACTTAAATGGCTCAAAGATCGCCTCCGATTTCAGGGAACTGGCAGGTCTTTCCTGGCGCTGACGTAGCTGCTGATGTTGGATATGTTGGTCGCCATGGTGTTGGGTACCTCACTGCCGTTCACCGGCGTTGAGATGTAATATGGAGGCTTCGGGATGTATGGATGAATCGGTGGAAAAAGTCCCGTCATGCAGAAAATTTGCTCACAATCACAATCTGACATACAGCACTCAAGGAGGGAGGGCCGAAATTTCCTGGTGACGTTGCTGGATATGTTGGTCGTCATGGTGTGCACCTCACTGCCGTTCACCTCCTTGCGCCCGTTGCCCCCGCCGCGCAGCGATGTGTGGGCAGCACGCGGAGTACCGTTGGCATCAAGGAGGGAGAGGAGCGCCAGAAGCAGAAGTGCGCGAAGTGCCATGGTGCTGTGTTGACGGACTGCTGAGCCAAACTGAGCCAAAAATTATGCGTTGGGCGATCAGTGTAACGAAGCCAACAGTATATCGTGCAGCTGTATACTATTCGATACTATACCAGCTAGCATTTGTGTATTTGGTTGTCATTTACAAACTCGGTTTTACCAAAGGGTTCAACATATTCGATTGTTCTCCGATCAACGAACGTCAGTCCTGGTGTGTATCCCCAGCGCTGGATCTAAATCCACACATTTATGGTATCTGCAAGACCGTGATCGATATTATATGGAAAATGTGTATATATATAATATATATGTATATATATAATATGTGTATATTATATATATATATTATTTTTTAAGTTTGACCAGAAACCAATATACTGTACATGGACAAAATCGCGGAATTTAACTTCATTATATAATTGAAGCCAAATCCCGCTAACCAACTATAAATCAGCAGGCAGTCAGCCATTTACCTCGTCTTCTGATTGATAAAAACCCTGGTTTGATCAAGAAGCGGGCTACCATTTCACAGAGTAATTTGTCTCAAAAGGGGTGGGTAGATTCATCAATCTCCTTTGATATTCCTATCTATTTCCCAAGACATTTGATGGTTTGTTGATCCCCGGGATATGTGTTGTAAACCCTCCCCCAATGCCAAAAAAGAATTACAAAGCAATGTGTATGGTCACAATCCATTCAGACTTAGTGATTCAATGGTTGGTAATAATAGAGGTAGTATATATAGTCAGTTTCTAGATATCTCATTAGTACAGGAGCAAACGGTGAATTTTGATCCTATATAACAACCACTATCATGATAAGGTATGATAAGCAACTTTTTAAAGTTCATGGTATGACAATCAAACTTAAATAACTTAAATACGCAACTGGTTGGTGGTGCAATAACCATCTTGAAAAATATGAGTTCGTCAATGGGAAGGATGACATCCCATGGGAAGGATGACATCCCATATATAAAATGGAAAATAAAATTCCATGGTTGAAACCACCAAACAATGACAGTAAAAAAAAAGAAACTGAGATCATCTCAAAACATCATATGGGGGATCCTATAGATATATCGGCGATCAAACTGGCAAAGCGTCGTTCACGTGCCATGAAGAAAATGGCCTAATCATGGCTATTCAAAGTGGTAAATATCCTTTTTTTTATATAAGTAGTTTCTCCTATATCAATGCTGACGTCCTGGATTGAAAAACCATGCCGCATAGTTGGGGCTAAAGTTGGCATCCAATTCACATCTACCAAGTTGGCAACACTAGTTCACATGTCTTCACATCATTCACCAGAGGGTTTTTCTATAAACCATCATTAACCAGCTATAAATCTGGGCAAATTATAATAATTCACTAACCTGAATTAAGGCCATTTGGGGATGATTTCCCTTACTAACTATGATTTCCAGTGAGCTCGTAGTGAGCTCGTTACAATTTACCCAGATAAATCACCATTTTCACATCTAACATCCGTTGGCTTTTTTGCTTCGCATCCGCCATTGGACCTTTCCGGTCACAACTCATTCGATGCACCATCGCGGTCCACTCTCGACGGATGATCCATGCGGCTCCACCAGATAAAAAGAGCTATTATAGGTAAATGGTTAATGATTGTTAATGATGGTTAAATGATGGTTAATGACGGTTTATATATATATATAGCTTCTGGTAATTTTACATGGCTATTGAAAATGGCCCAGTCGAAATAGTTGATTTACCCACTAATAGCATGGTGATTTTCTACAGCAAACTGTTAGTTTACCAGAGGGTATCATCCATTCACAAAGATGGGATGTTCCATGTTCAATACCCTCTGGTAAACGTTTACATAACTATGGAAAGATCCACCATGCTATTAATGGGAAAATCAACTATTTCAATGGCCATTTTCAATAGCAAACTGTCAAATTACGAGAGGGTATATATAAACCATCATCAACCATCATTTAACCATCATTAACAATCATTAACCATTTACATGTGTTAGATTGCAACCTGTTGGTTTACCGGAGGGTAAACCATCCAGCTATGGCAGCGGGTACCCCTTATTTTCCGCCGCGAGGCGTCCAGTTCCACGTGGGCGTCTTGTGCACGCCTCAGTCGGTCGAGTTCGTTTGATCTCCACGGTGATGCAAACGCTGATCCCAATTTTTAAACGGAGATTCCCATTTCTGGTACCCTCTGGTAAACGCTTACATAACTATGGTACCAGTTATGTTCAACAATTCTGCTAGTTGGTTGATAGGTATCCCATCTCATTATGCTAGTTGGTTGATAGGTTTCCCTTTGGTTAGTTCATAATCCCCAATAACCCAGGTAGTATAAATCCCTATGAAATTAGCAATCACTGAGGTACCCTCTGGTAAACGTGTACATAACTATGGAAAGATCCACCATGCTATTAATGGGAACACCCACTATTTCGACTGGGCCATGGCTTCAATAGCTTTTTGTTTGTTTACCAGAGGGTAGTTATAAAAATTGTTGTAAATACAAAGGCAACCCCAAAAGATAGAAAAAAGAAATCCGAGCAAAATAGGTTTACCCTCTGGTTATTTAACAGTTCGCCATGGAAAATCATCATTTTTCATGGGTAAACCATCTATTTCTATGGGCCATCTATACCATGGCTATGTTAAATAACCAGATGGTATATGGTTATAACCACTATTAACCACTATTAACCACTATGAACCACTATTATTAATCATACCACTGGTCGATATTCCCACCTCTTGGTGGCTTTTTCTGGTTGGACCAGTCACGGCATGACGCGACTGATCCATGACAACTCGTGGGGGATTACGGAGATATCTGGGCGCTACGTTGCACGAGTTATGCTGCAGTTGTAGATGGAACCTGCTTGCCACCAAGTTCCAGTCAGTCAGTTGTGAAAATCATATCAAGTAGCCACGAACAAGCTTACACACTCTACAACCAAGATAGATCCAACAAAGAAACATATCTGAATAGTTGGCAATCAATTTTGGCCGGATGATCTCCAGCGTTTGGCCATCGAATGTCCATGAAAAACGCCTGCTGGCTGTGATTGTCCAAGTCAACATGATGGTTTTCCCATATATCACTAGGTTTTCCCATATATCACTAGGTTTGTTTACATGATGGTTTTCCCACAGATCACAATTGAAAGATCTTAGCACATGAAAAACAACTTGTTTTTTGTGTGTGGCATTAAAACATTTCTTGCTCATGGCTGCATCTCGACGTGCACTCCTTGTATGCTCGTTTTTTTGTGCCTGGCATTGAAAAGAAAACCCAAACATGGAACAATGCAATCATATACACGTACACATATTATGTATATATATATTATATATATATATATGTATACATATTATACATATATCAGAAAACACTCTGGGAAACGGGCATAGAAGAGTGTGCGTGTGTGTGTATGTGCATCGCGCCCACCATCTGAAGGTTGTTATAAAGGACCTGCAAAATGGATTGCGGGAGGTTTATCACAAAATGTTCGAGGACAAGACAGTCGATTTGTGTCCATAGACAGTTCCAGAACCACTTTTAAAAGAGTCAAGTCTTGCGCCATCTATGGAGCTGGCATGCATCTTGATTCCCAATTTTGGCTGCTTGGACCCAAGAAATTGGCTTATTTACCCACTAAGTGATGATGTTTTTCGTTGTTGATCACCATTGAATCACCATGTGTATAGGGTACTTCCACCTTTCAGTGACGTCCATTCGTTATTTCCTCATACTCAATGGTTCTTGATGTTCATGGTTCAATTCTAATTGTGTCGGTAAAATCACCATTAATAATCATTGAAAATCATTAAAATCCATTAAATCCCCATTAAAATTAAAATCCATTCAAACATCACCATTAAATCATGATACAAATTCATTAAAGTTCATTAAATCACCATAAGAATCCATAAAAATCACCACATTCCCAATCAAAATCACCATTTTCCCCATTAAAACCATCATTTTCCCCAGAAACTTCCCCTATGAAAAACCATGAACTTCCTGCAAGGCGCTGCAAGAGCTGCAAGGTCAAGGGCCAGGAGTCGGAGACGAAGCCGCACGCGTGGAAGGCTGCGCCTGAAGATGGACAAAGAAGTGGTGCAATATATGTATCTATAGATATAATATATATATATATATAATATGATAAATAATAATAATATGATAAAAAATAATATGATATTACATGTAATTGGTTACACCATTAGTGTTATTTGATGCCCTAATGATAATATGGTTTAGAAATAATTAATGTTATTTCATGGAAAATCCCCATCGAAAATACATGGTTTATTTCATGGAAAATCCCATCTATAGATACTGGTTGGTGGTTTCAACCCCTCTGAAAAATATGACAGTCAGTTGGGATTATTATTCCCAATATGGAAAAATATTTTTAAAAAATCATGTTCCAAACCACCAACCAGTATAATATGATGAATAATAATGTTATATTACAAGTGGTGCAAGAATATTATCAATATATGAAAAATAATAATAATAATATATAAAATAATATAATATTGAATGCTTTATGTTTATTTGTTTGAAATATGTGTATATATATATTGATGACAATATTATATCATATAATGGATATTCATAATGGATAATACTGGGATATTCATGGATACTAGTGGTACTAATTCATAGTTGTTGATCCTGGTTCATCATGGACAATTGGTTAATGGTGGTGATCAATGATGGAACAATAATGGATAATAATGGGACAATGGGAAATAATGGGATATGTTTAATTAATGGTTCATTTAAGGTTGATGAATATTAGATATGGATATTAGATATGGATGGAGATTTCCGAGATAATGGGATAACAATACTGGCTAATCTCTCATAGTAATGGTGCATAATGGGATTATTTAATGGTTAATTAATTTACGGTTAATTGTGGCTTATGATTCATGATGGTTCACAATGGATAATTGAATCACGGGTTAATAAATAATGGGATTATGATGGGATGGTTGCGAGTAGAATGGTTCCTAATGGTTAATTGTGGTTAATACTGGTTCATAGTAATTGTGGTTAATAATGGTTAATTCTGGTTAATGATTCAAATTGTTCATTTTTTGACAAACACTGATCATCTAAGATTAATCATAGCCAATCTTAGATACCCTGCCTCCTTTAAATCTGGTCAGTAAATATTACCATCCATGGCAACAAAAAATGAAGTATGAAAATACCCAACCAAGGTGTACCCAGTAGCGGGAGTTCTATAATTTCCAACATATTCCTCCATCAACCGTTCTCGATAATAATAGTTATATATATATATATACACAATATATACACCCTATGTTGATGTCTTATAACATGTATCCCCACTTTTCCTCTATTTTTGCTGGGTATTAGACATGATGTTTCCACAATTCCTTATTTTGTCCAACAATCGTAAAGTTTATTAAATAGCAGCTTATTCTTGTTATTCTCAACTGGTATCAAAACAATTTCGTCTAATGGTGATTGTAATATCTTAAATGATGTCCCTTCTTCCGTTGTTCTTACTATTCATTATTATATGCGTTCATATGCTTTCACTATTCCATATTCTTGTTTTTCACAATATAAGTTAATGTGTGTAAAGTCTTACTGTTCAGTGTTTATTAACCATCATATTCTCAGTATTCCCTATGTTTTCCAGGAATAATATGATCTTACACTCACCATCATATTCATATTCATATTCATATTCATAATCACCATCATCATAATCATATGATCTTACTGTTCACTGTTCACCGCTGTTTCCCCCGTCTCCTGGGTTCCCAGGCCGCACACAAAGGCATTGCCTTGGACGCGCTTGGCGCCGGAGCCGCCGGCGTCGTCGCCCCAGGCGCAAGCATCCAGGGCAAAGTGAGCGGCCTGTGGTCCCCCAAAGCTGGCTAAAAAAATTGGGTTGAAATTGTACATGTGTACATTGCGTATGATTATGTCTATATATACATATATATATATGTGTATATATATATATATATATTTGTATATATATATATATGTAGGTATGTATTTAATATAAATATAGTGTAATCTATCCATTTATCCATCTTATCCATCTATCTAGCTATCTAGATATCCAGCTAGCTATCCAGCTAGCTATATACATATGTTGTGCTTTCGTTCCCAAATTCCTGCCACTCCTCTCATTGCTCGCCTCGCGATATAGGCCACGCTGCGTCAACGCACGGATAGCCGCGGTCACCTGCGCAACTGTTGCCGCTCTTTTTCGGGGTGCACAGGTTGATGCCATGAGGAAATCCATGAAAATTGTGCTGTACTTGGGGGTGCATCCAACTAATATGTGTATATATATATATATGCCAGTCATATATGGAATGTCCCCATTTGTGTAGGAATATAGTATATGTATATATAAGTTTAAGTTATATGGATTAAGTTTTAGGTTTTAGTAGGGGTCAGTTGGGAAACCGCTCAAAAAGTCGTACCCCAACGATTTGAGAAAGAGCCGTTTGTTAAGTATGGCGACAATTGGCAGCTTAAAGCAACACAAATTGTGATTAATCAAGAAAACTGTTCACAATAAATTTAGATTGTATGTGATTCTATTGTATTTGTGAATTATAAGAATTAATGGCGTGGTTAATTACGATATTAGAATTACTTTACCAGCAAAATGGATCTATTTGAAGAATGAAATTGGGACCCCAAGCAACGACAATGGAGATAGCATTGAAACAGATCGTTCCTGTAGTTGGACCGTCCCGAATTGGAAAATCTTACGCTTGAATTGCAACCTCAACAATCTAACAAATGTTAATGGTTAATGATTGTTAATGATGGTTAAATGATGGTTGAATTGTTAATGATGGTTAAATGATGGTTGAATTGTTAATGATGGTTAAATGATGGTATTTGGTATCCCTAAATGATTGTTAATGATTGTTAATGATTGTTAATGATTGTTAATGATTGTTAATGATGGTTAAATGATGGTTAATGATGGTTTATATATACCCTCTGGTAATTTCTTACAGTTTGCGAACTTGAAAATGGCCCAGTCGAAATAGTTGATGACTACCCATTAATAGCCTGGTGATTTTCCATGTTCGCTATGTACCCTCTGGTAAACATACAAAAAACTATAGAAAATCACCATGTTCAATAGGTAAACCATCTATAAATGGGCCATTGCCCATAGCTTTTTGTATGTTTACCAGAGGGTAACATGAAATCTTGGCCTTTTTGACCCATCAGCGAGATACCTGCAAAATGGTCCATGTTGAGCTGGGCCCTGCGACTTCAAATTTCATCAAGTCGTTCCTGGGTGAAAATGTAGACCTCCCACCGAAAAAAAAAAAAAACACACACTGCTATCTAAATGATCAAAAGAATTAGGAAGATCAGAGGATACAATACAATATAGTTACATTATATATAGCTGCATGGTTATAAATATTTGTTTACCTATGGTATAAGAATTTGAAAGGAGGATGTGAGCATCCTAAGCCAGAACCAGAGATCCTGGCAAAAACACCCGGTGCTTCAGGGTCGTTACAAATTTTGACCGTTGGTCTCCCGGCAATTTTGGACAAAATCCCAATTTTGTTCGATCAAATCATGGACTAAATCCCAATGTTTATTGGTTAAACATGATTAAAGCATACTAAATCCCAATACTCATTGATCTCATCTGATCTAATCACCTCAAAAATCCAGGGTTTTTTGGGTTTCTTCATCTTAGCGGGGTCACCAGCGCACCTCTTTGGGTTCCCGCAGGACCTTCCTCCGCAGCAACTTGGGAAGCAGTTCCAAGGCCTTCAAGGCGAAAAGATTCGAAAGATCAGATGGTCACTGGCTGCGACTTTCGATTCTCTGGGTAAAATTGATCACGACCTCACTGTTCTCCCGAACCCTGGAATCATGGTTAATAAGGGGAATCATCCCAAAATGGCCTTACTACTGAGGTTAGTGAAATATTTTAATTTACCCAGGATTATAGTTGGAATGATTGGTGATATGGAGGTTTCCTCCAAATGGGGGTACCCCAAAAACGCTGGATGGTTTATACTGGATTTAGGAGTACCACCATTTTAGGAAACCTCCATATGATGACCATAGTTACTAGGGAATACCCTCTAGTAAACTAACATAGCTATTGAAAATATACCATTTATAGTTGATTTACCTATTCAAAATGGTGATTTTCAATTGATCTGACCCTCTGGTAAATTCACATGACGACCTGCCATTCATCGGGGTAAGCGGGCTGAAAAAATTGTGTCCACTCAAAATTGATGATGTTTAGGGTCTATGTTAGTGAATTTACCAGAGGATATCTCGT